TGAACATAAATATTATAGAAGAGAAAGTATATATATACACGTGCAAAATTTTGAGTTATATGTGTTTTATCAAAATGACGTAAAATACTGCGTTTGGTACACTGGTGTCCCAATACGCAGCAGTGGAATATCACTGTTGGTACACAAGTGGCCCAATACGCACGGAACGTGATAATCGGTTTGATTTAATCATTGCCATTTAATCATTGCAGAACATTACATGCAGTTAATGTGTTAGTAAGATTAGTACAGGCAGGGGCATGAATTGGACAATTCAGCAGCCTGAGCAGCATGTGATGAATGATTTCTGGAGACCCGCTAGGACATATATAAGGGGCTGTCAACCATGTTGGAATGAGCTATGTGCTTTAAATCTGGCATGACCAGTGCGCAGTCTGGCCAGAGCCGTCTCCACAGCAAAATTTTTATTGAGGGCCCATGGCCAATTGCCCAATTCTCTCTTGATTAAGGTAATGAAGCAGCTCTTCCCTGAATTTCTAATATAGTTCAGCCAGCAACTGTTCCATTTCGACATAACCTCAAAATTAGACTGTCTTGCCAGTTCCTTCTTCAAGATGGCAGTTACTGTGCAGTCCTGCAGGGAATGTGCTTCCATGCTGCATGGTCTGCCACCTCATTACCCCAATTCCCAGGTGCTGAGGAACGTACTGCAGATATTTTTCATGTGAGGAGAGTAGTGACATAAGTTTGGTTGGAATTTTGAAAATTGGATGCAAGTAGCTGTTTGCTTTTCTATTTTTGATCAGTAAGTAGAATGGATTCTTGGGAGTCAGTAAAGATAACAAGTTTTTCAGCAGGAGAAAGATTTGTTAGTGACCAGTTAAGAGCTTCATGTATTGCAAACAGCTCCCACTCTATTACCGCCACCTCAAGACATAGCTTCCGCTTCCAGTTAAGTAAAATGCCTCTGGGAGGGACGTGGAATGCTGCAGACATTGAAGGGACTGGTTGAAGTGTGCATGATCAATCTGTGATTCGTGAAAGCAGCTGTGTGAGAGGAATATTTGAAGTGCACCAGGTCCTGATGAATTTGTTGAGCAGCCTGCGAGGGGATAGAGGATACTGTAGAAACTAGAAAGGGAGAAGTCTGTTAGCAGATGTGTGTTGGTGTTGAACCATGGTGGCATTGGAGATTTCAGAGGAGATGTGAGTAACCTTGGAATGGTGATCTGCAGGGAGGAGAAGATGGATTTGGCATTGGGTACAAAAGAAGTAAGGTTAAGTGTTCTACATTCAGCAGCCTGAGGGTGGTTGTTGTGAAACAATTCCACCACAACAGGCTACATAGGCAGCTGAATAAGTCAGAGCCTCAGAGGTGATATTACTGATATATACAGACTATCTCAGTCTTATGAATGGTTAATGTCAGAAGGTTGCTTTTACTTCCAGTTCCAGTGATGACACAGGGGTAGTTTTTTCTACAGCCTAAGGCTATTCTACTCTGAGTCTGAGCCCTGAGGCAGTTGTTTTGGATGACATTCAGTTTGGCAAGGATAGTAGGGGATGCCAAGGCATAGAGAGCAGCAGCATAATCCAGCTGATTTCTGATCAGTACCTTATGCAGTTTCGTTACCAGTGCGTGGTCTGATCACCAGTGCCTGCAAGAGATTGATTGCAATAAAATGAAGTTCCAAGTGATTAGATTATAGATACTTTATAGAAACTAAGCAAGTTAGCGTACGTGTTTTAAGCCTTTAAGAAGTTCATTTTTTGCCTCAAATAACGATGTTGGGTAGAAAAAGTGGTCTTGGTGGATCGAAATAATATATGAACCTTCGAAATTAGAATTCCATCCTGGCATCTGTAGTCAGTGTAGTGTACTTAAACGAAGAGTTCGGGAATGCCGTGTGGTCACTGGTCACCAAAACTTGAAATGGACAAAAATTTAGTAGAGAGTGTTCAAAGACATGCTACCAGTATAATTCCAGGCTTTAAGGGCAAGTCTAAAGCCCCGTACACAGTCCACACGCTCAAACTTATTGTCAGTCTTGCATGTCATGCCAGGTTTGACAACAAGACGGAGCGTGTGGACGCTCAAAGTTTGACGTCTTGCATGACGGGTGGGCGGAGTTTGAGGTTTGACAAACCTGGAGGCTGGAAAAGACGGACAGGCAAGACCTTTGGGTTCATGCATTGCAAGACCATAGTGGCAAAGCAGAGTTTTTTTTAGACTCTCCCTCAAGTTCATTTTTTGAGTCCTATTAGTAGACCAGATCACCAGAAAAGTAGGGTAAACGCGGTATATTCCGACATCGTAGGTAATTCCGTCACTTCTCTAGTTTTTCCTTTATATTAAGCTTTGTTTTAGTTCCATGCGTTCATTGATGGTTGAAATGGTGACGTCATACATTTGCGTGTCGAAATACTGCAAAAACACTAGGTCTTGGCCCTGTCTCTTATACACATCTAGATGTGTATAAGAGACAGATTCAGTCGCGGCTCGCCAAGTAGATATATTCCATACTAGTGCTGGTGTAGCCATGACACACGCACTTGTTAAAGTAAACAGAGAGATTTTGAGCACGTCTTAATTCGTCAACGGCTGAATGTACTCTCCGCACCAACATATTCGGGCATAGTGGCAAAGCAGAGAGTTTTTTAGACTCTCCCACAAGTTCAATTCTGATTACTAATTTACTATAAGTAGACCAGTAAACTTGAGTAAAGTATCATGGATACCAGCATTATCATATGTAAGAAATTGGTTTAAATATTGAGTAATTGAGGAAATTAAAAATGCACTGAATCTAAAAAATCTCTGGTTTGCCACTATGTAGCAAGACTGACAATAAGTTTGAGAGTGTGGACAGGCAACCGACTAATTGGTCAAACTTTTACTCTATCTCAGTCTAGGTATATTGATAATGAGAGCTGTGACATTGTTCCTCGCTAGCTCTAGTTTTTAACACGTTTTTCTTAGCTTAGCTTCGCGTTTGTTTGTTTATTTGTTTGTTTGTTTGTTTGTTGTTAACATTGACAACGAAAATTAGCCCAAATCATAAATCTGCCCGACACGTTTTTTTGGGGCGAGCCACAATTTATTTTCTACTTTTTAGTCCACAAGAAAAACGTGTTTTTTTAAAAAGTTTTTTTAAGTATTTTATTCATATCCCAGGATATCTGACACTGGTTTCGCAATTTATTTTGGAGAGTTTATGACTTTATGGAGTTATATAGTAGTTTCCAATGTTTATGGTAAATTCGATCAAAAGCTACAAGAACAAGAGAGCACTGGCCTATGTGGCATTTATCGCTAATTCGCTATTCGCTAAGTGTATCAGACAGGCCTATCCAGGCCTATTCTTTAAATGCCGAAGATACTATACTAAGTGCAAAGAAGTTGATCATAGAGCAAACAAAGACTTTGTAACGAAGAAAATAAACTCTTTGTTGAAAAGGATGTGCCAAAATGAAGTCGTCAATGCTGTCTTGTGCTGGTAGGGATGCTGTCTATCAACCCTCATTGTATTTTTAAAATCCATTTTCGGCACCACCGCGGCACCGCCTACGTTTGCATCGCTTTAACCTAATTATGGTGGCACAAACTGCGCTCACTGCAGCGAGGAGCACTTACTACTCCATTGCCGCGAACGCACTAAAAACTGAAGGAAAGCTTGAGCGAGTGGACGCTCTTCAGTCTTCCGTCAAAATTGCTCAAACCTGGCATGACATGCAAGACTGACGATAAGTTTGAACGTGTGGACGGGGCTTTACGAAGAAAGATTAAAGATAATGAAGCTTCCAAGCCTCTGTTATCAGCGTCTGCACTCTGCAAGACCGCATGGTGACCTCATCGAAGTATATAAGTGTACTTATGGCTTAAACAAGAACCCAGAAGGATTACTAGAATTTGAAACAGGAACGAACACCAGGTGACATTGCTATAAACTAAAAAATACTGCGATGCAACTCATCTACGCATCACTCCAGTCCATGTCGCTTCGAGTCACTGACATATAGAACAGCCTCCCGTATTACACGTCCTGATTAACTGCTGATTAAATCGTTGACGCTCCGAGTATGAACGCGTTCAAGAACTGACTAGATAAAGCCATGAAAAAATATATGTTCAGACTCGAAATGTCTAGCACTGCACCATACCTAACCTGGTAGAAATCTAGTAGCTATTTCAAACTATCGTCAGTTTCGAAGATCCGGTCAAAGGGTCTGTATTCTGATCTCCTGTGAACAAGCCACGAAAAGTACAAGATTCGGCGACAGGCCACATCAGGCCTATTCTTCTGCGCCGACATAACTATGATATGATAAAATCACACTGAAAATAATTTCAGCGTCCGGACGAATCCTGTAGTTTTCAGGTTGAAAGCTGGAGAATGGCTCTTGAAGCCGGTCTCGAAGCGTCAGGGCACTGCATAATTATGCTTGTGCAGGCCTCCAACTTCGCTCGGGTGATGGTCTCATTGTGAGCCTCCCGCATGCGGTTCTTACGTGCTGGTAAGAACCATGGTTGGATTAATGTATTACTTCAGCCATGGGTAAGACCAGTGTAGTTATATTTTGAAGAAGTTTAAAACCTTATATATTACATGAAAATTTATAAAAATGAGTATCTGGTTTTGGTAGAAGATTGTTGTGACGGCTTCATTCTCGATTCGTTTTTTTTTTCTCGATCGATAATTTGATTTTTCAGTGTCAACTGTTCTATTTGAATATACATTATTTACTAGGATTTGTTTACAAGTGCTGAGTTGTATTTACAAATTACTCTCGCATGTGCAGGTCTTGAATGCTTCATGTACGAGAGCGCGTACACTGCTAGTTTTATAGCGTTGAGGGGCATTCACGATCTTCGTTCAGCACTCTTCCGACATCGGTAGGTTTTCGGTAAACATTAGTGACAAAGGAATTATCTTCAATATATATATATGTATATATATATTGGAATATCAGGAACAAAAACATATAAGAATCAACTTCATCGTCGGACAGGAAATATAGGAATATAGAAAAAAAATACATGGCAGACAAAATAATTTACTATACAAAATAGGTACACGTAAACCAAGCGCAACAGGAGTGAACAATTTAGCAAGGTGATTGAACTTGAACTCATAAGAGATGATTTTAAAACAACAATAGAACTCGGAAAATGTAATGTTAAAGAGCAAACAAAATATTGTAGGTATATATTCACTTAGGAACAACATGGCCTTCAGTAATTTTTTTCGCATTAAACAAATGCAAGTGATAGGAAGACGATATTCATTGGTTTTGACCAGCCAGTATAACACATAAATATTATATATTTGCACGGAGGTGCGTGTTCCAATAAAGCATCGAAAACAGTTGTAACTAGAAAATCTTCATCCTGGAAATTTATTCAGAAAAAATACAACCGTTATGATAAAAACTTGAATACTTCAACATAGTAATTACATTCACGATACATTCCCAGAAAGTTCAATGAGCTACACATCTAAAGAAAATTAACTCTAGTGGAATAGAGAAGATGCAATAGCAGCAACCCATCAAGCCGAGTCAGCCAAGCGAACATTGTGGTGAAGCTCAGGCTTGATATCCTGTATCATTTCCAGGACACGTTCAATCACCTGCAAGATAAAATAATACACGGATAAATAATAAGCTAAGAAACATTTACTATGCTAAGATAAAGCTTATCAAAGACAATGCATAAAGCATTGTCTTCAGAGCCGAAAGTGTGAAAGAAAAAGCATGTGAGACAATAATATACAGATAACATTGATGATGTTTAAGCTTACATATAGCTAGCATTTCATCATAATTAGACTGCAGTGAAGTTTGAAACAAATTTCTTCTTCAAATTTCTTCTCAACTAAGCAACCTACTAGTAGTAAATTAAAATCATTTTATGGAGGTTATGATGTGATACACTCTGCCATTTATAAGTCAAAAGGAAATTCCATGATGTGTAATCTTGTGTTCACAGACTACAGAATTTAATGAGAAACTAAGTTCAAACTCACCTTATCTTTATGAGCTGCCACCATTTGGTTTTGCATTGCCTTCTTCTGGACGGTTTCTTTTTTAATTCTGGCAGCAACATCATCCTGAGAACCCAAGTGCTGGAAAAACAAATAAAAAAGTCAACTATGTTATACTACATTATATTCTTTAAAAAGAACACAATGACGGTAAAATTCAGCTCAGGACCAATTTTTCATAGTTATCAGAGTACTTATATTGCCAGCTTCTAAAAAAAAACAATATATATATATATTAAATTTACACAAACTGTGTGAAATCTTTCTAGTAAATCACTTAAGTGGTGTTTTTTATAGATTTGATAGAACAGAATGAACTGTTATTAAATGGTTTTCAATGTCATAGTGCAGCTCAAGTGCATTGGCTGCTGGGTTTCATCTAGCATATCATAGGCATTAATTGTATACAGTTACACAAAATTTCCATTTTCCAATCCACAATAACCAATTTCGACACAATTCCAACTTCCAGTCTTGTATATTATTGTTAACCAATGTGCCCAATAGATATGATAAAATGTCACAACAATAATATATCATTTTAGAGCTAGTAGTACTGTAGTAGTATAATGGTTTGCTAGCGCATCAGCTATTAAGCTATTTAGCACTGGAGGCAAAAAGATAACATTGCCAGTGAGGCAAATGGTCTCTATTCGAAATCTCATTTAAATCATCACCCACAAGGGGTGGAAGGTCTAAGATGTCCAGCCCACTGAAGCTGGTTCAAAAGAAACAGCATTAGCATTTCAAAGAGACAAAGTGACAAGGAGGGACAGGTGAAAAGCAACAGGAAAAGACACTCAAACAGGAGGTTGCTTACACAGGATGTTGGCCACACACACAAGAGAGACAGAGAAGGAAATTTTAAGGAATCCTACCTACATAACAACTTAATCCCACAACTGAAGCCCACAGTCAGACACCACAAGTTCAGTGGTGGGGTTCTCAGGAACAATTATCCTAGGAGCCCAAAATCCCATAGGACTTCTGACAAGCACAGACAACAGACATGCATCAGAAATCACCCCCTGAGGAGTAATTTTAGGAAATTCCATTACCATGTATAAAAATTAATGTAGTCTGCTATGTAGTCCCATTAATACTGACAAATACCATATGTCTTGAAAAAGTCTTTGCAATGAATTAGGTGTCTTTGACCTATATTGTGCTACATATAGGTACTTTAGTCTTACAGTCACCCAAACTTCATTAGAAATGCTCATCATGAGTTATACAAGTTAGGATTGGGATTTTCCTAATTGTCTTACAGGCAAATCATGCACTTTTGTTAACAATTAGATACGTCTATAATTTATCTAGAAGGAATTGTGCAGTTCCAAAAAGGCGGAAACGCCATAGTCATGGCTTGAAAGCATGAGAGGCAGATAAATTCCACACCTGCTTATAACTAATAACCAAAGCTCCATACACCTGTGAATCGTAATGTGGTGAATTTTATAATCTCAAAGACAATTAATAACTAATAAAATGTACATGTTTTATACACAAATATTTCAAATTTAAAATCATGTATTTATTTGAATATAAATTTTAGGGTTTAATTGAACAGTTTTAGGCTATGAACTAGGAAAAACGCGGTATATTCTGACACATTAAGGACGTAGCAAGAAATGAATGGCTATATAAATATCACCATATGCGTAACTCGAGTTCTGACTGTTTTACGTCACTATCAAAACACCACACTACGCGCCGGCAATGATGAAACGTCACAAAGTGTTGCCATATTTATTTGAAAGCCTTTAGAATTCAAACCTACAAAATCCCTGAATCCAACGCTGTGCGTGACTAAATTCGGCATATTGTGAGACTAATTCCGGCAGCGCTTCGAACTCTATTAATTTGTAATTCCGGCACCCTGTGTTGGAATTCCGACGCCCTGTGTGAGCTGTATCAGAATACAACACAGCTTGGAATGAGCTTAATTAAGAAATTTTAATTTTTTAATTAAGCTTCTAAGTAAGAGCTATTAAGCTTTAAATTAAGAAAATGTTAATTTTAGGACACAGCTTGGAACAAGCTGTGTGTATCTAATTCCAAGCTGTGTTGGAATTAGTTTTTATGTGTCTAAAATTGTTGCTCAACTTAATCATCTATTAATTTATTTACCACTTAAAATCAGCAAATGCTTGATGTTCATTTGTGTGTGTGCTGTGCTGCAGTTAAAGGATTACTAACATATTCACAGACTTGTTTAAAAAGTCTAAAACCACAATATTCTTTCTACACAAACAGTTTATCACTATTTGGTAGCATAGAGCAAGGTCAGCTATCAACTTTGACACGCTTCTCGATGTTCTCACTGGGTGATGTGCACTGTCTCTTTGGATCTTAAGGGGACCGGCTACCCCTAAATTTTCAAATTTGGCGTTTTCCGGTTTTTGTGCTCATCTTAAAGCTTACTTTTTGACGCATCAAACGGTACCAGAATCATCTCTCTACATTGAAAAATGATTTCGTGACAGCTCCCCAAAGGGGGGCGGTTTTGAGGCCCCTTCAGTAAGAGCCCGGAAGAGTACTTTAACGTGGAATATGGGATTAATTCGAAGGCTGGTCACACTAAAAAGGAACGTCTGACATAAAGTGGCCAATTATGGCATTATCCAGTGCTTATACTCATCTTAAAGCTTACTTTCAGACACGTCGAACGGTACCAGAAACATCTTTCTATGTGCATTTTTCCGTACACATTGCGCGTACACGGGGGGGGGGGGGGGGGGCTCGGTGTTTGGGGGCCTTCACTAATTGCTATGGGCATAAATGGAAGGCGGGACTATAAATATAGCCTGCGGTTGCCAATGCAGTCAGTGACCATCATGACAGCAAGGTGAGAGGTGTGCAGCCAGTCGCTCTATGCCTTGCTGACTTGGTTTGAGGCTTAGTTCCGGTATCTAGGCTACTTTATGACTCTTTTACGTCATTTTACGTGCTGCGCGCCAGTTTTTTGGGCGTGGTGAAAACCTCCTATTGCTCTCACGCCAAACCTATTTCCTACAGTTTTCACAGCTACGGCAATGAGACATATACCATTCGATTCGTAAAGACCAGGCCTATCGAGTAACTCATCCCTTTTTTTGAATTTCGGTCTGGTTCGTTTTTTATATGGGGGAGAAAAAATGAGAAAAATAGGAAAAACACGCATAAAAAAACTATGGGTAAAATGAAAAAACCCATGTTTGAATCGATAGGTTTGAATCTTTACAAATCAAATGATATGTGTCTCTTTGTTGTAGGATGATATTTGTAGGAGGAGATAAATTTTCTTAAGTACCCGTTTTTAGCCGTTTTCTATGAATTTCACATTTTCTATCAATTTTTTGGCAAAATTCATAGAAGCAAAATGTCATTTTTTTACATTTTACGTAAGTATGTGAAGTATCATGATGATCGGATAATAACTGTAGAAGTTTTTCCAGAGGGTAGCCGGTCCCCTTAAAATTTTCCTGCCAGACGGCCCACGGGCCCAGACCTAGTATTTTGGCAATAGTGTGGCACGCAATAGTATGACATCACTATTTCAACCATCAATGAATGCGTGGAACTAAGACAAAGCTTAATATAAAGGAAACAAGTTGAGAAGTGTTGGAATTACGCACGATGTTAGAATAGCTATAGGGTAAACGCGGTATATTCCGACACATTGACGCATCGAGAAATGAAAAACTATAAAAAAACCGTATGTGTTACGTAAGTTCTGTTGCCTTCACGTGACTCTCAAAACACTTCACACATGCATTGTCTCTCTTTGGATCTCAATATTTTCCCACTAGATGGCCAAGACCTAGTGTTTTTGCAGTATTTCGACACGCAAATGTATGACATCACCATTTCAACCATCAATGAACGCATGGAACTAAAACAAAGCTTAATATAAAGGAAAAACTAGAGAAGTGACGGAATTACCTACGATGTCGGAATATACCTACTGCGTTTACCCTACCATGTTTACACTATTCAATAGGATATGATATTATTTATTATTATTATTTGTTAATCAGGAATCTTCTAGCTTTAAAATGGCATGAATACCATAGTGGTTACAAAAAAGTAGGTATTTTATGCAGACAAACTTTATTATTATCATTTGAATTTGATTGCTTAAATTTAAAATAGGCCAAGAATTTGCATGAAATAAAAATGGGAAAGAATAGCCATCAGTGCCCATCTCATTAACAAAATTTTCACTAAGAAGGGCCGCTTTTTGCAGATGACCAGCACAAAACTAAACAACTTTACAACAGATTTAATATACCTAAGGATTCATACCTTAGCTTCATACTGCTTGTAGGCTGCCTCACGCTCCAGTCTGAATTTTTCAATTTCTGCCTGTGCTTCATCCTTGGCTTGTTTCAAGCGCCTTGCCTTTCCTGAAAAAAAATAATGATCATCAACGTATTCAATTAAATTTGCTTAAACGAATATTAAATGAGACTATAACGCCATAATAACGGATTAAAAAATTTGAAGGTTAGGGCGTTAGGCAGTATTTCAGTTCCGATAATGGTACTCACGTTTTCTAGCTTCGGCTACTTTTTCCGCAGCCTTTTTCTCAGCAGCAAGAAGTTGCTGGACACCTTGACTTTGACTAGCCATTAAATTGAGACAATTTGAGAAGTGACAAAATTATTTTCAAACGAATGACCGACGATATGAGCAGACGACAGTACGACGTCGAACATCACCTGACCCTTGTTTTGGTGCACCTCTCCATCCCTGACACCTAAAGTCACATGCTTTGAGAAATAATCAACATGAGTCAAATTAAGATGAATTTATCTTTGGGGTTTATATCCCCTTTTTATTGAGTGATATATTTCATTGCAATATTACTTTTCTTGTTTCACAGCTTATGAAAATTTTTCATTTTATTTAATAAAACTCGAAATCAAGCATGAAAATTATATCACATGCAGTAACGTCTCGAACAAATTTATGGCCATTCTGAATGCCAATAGCGAGGGTTTACCAACACCATGTATAAAGTGCTGCGATTTATTAATTAACTGATTTATTTAACACATGGTTGACATACATATGAATCGCGGAAACACCAATACCGGAGCATTGCTACCAATGAATTATATTTCAAATTTCGTCTAGATTAAATGAGCTAAGCAGTTGAGCGAAAATTTCGTCTTTACGCTCTAACAATGTGTTTAAGGGAGATGGAAACAAAATAAGACCAAAGTGACACCTAAGTCGATTAGGTACACACGATCATTCTTCTCGTCCACTAACGATCGTGTAAGAACTTCATACATGGTCAGGTAGGGAATTCCACTCACGATCATCTAAAGACTCCATGCACGGTCATGTTGGGTAATCCACTCTCGATCATGAAAGGACTACACGTACGATCCTGCTGGGTACAGCACTCATAATCGTGGGGAATTACAAACACGATCATGCTGGGCACTCTGCTCAAAATTTGTGTACGGGACTTCATACAAGATCGCGTAGGAAGCGCAGCTAACACCATCATGTTAGACACAGTTATTTCGCAGAACAATAATGGACGCAATGTGTCCACATTACGAGGTTTTCCCAATGATAATATTCGAATAATTCTCATTAGATTACTCATGTAGAGCAGAGGAATGAAAAAAACATCGATATCCGTTTATTCCATCAGAAATCCTAGAACAAAAAAGATCTTCCTTTAAAGGTAGTGACAAGTTGACTAGCAAGACGAGGACATTGGAGCAAGCGGACTCAGATGCAGGCTGTTGAAAGTGACGGTTTCCTATCCTGAACATACGTTTCATCACGATCACCACCTTAGTGATAAAACTACAAAACTTTGAATAAAAAATCACGTCAAAGCTCTCTTCCGCACGAAAAGTCTTTACCAATGTTTTTTTTCTTCAACAGAAAGACATAATTTGAGATAAAAATTTCTCTATGCATCTTTCAACATTCGAACGAAATTTTACTGCAGAGGAATCTTTCCCAGAGTTTCTTCAACAGAAGAAGAACAAGTGTTGGGCAGGGAGTATCTGAGGTGTGGTTAAGGCGCCACGAGGGCCAGATTGGCATTGGTGAGGTGGTTGTACAAGGTGTGGTCAAGGCGCCACGAGGGCCATGTTTGTAGGGTGGTTATAGAAGAGCAGCACAGGCAGGTGCAGCACCAGGCTGCTGTCAGCCTCCGTTAGCAGCAGCGAGACCGAAAGCCACCGCGACAGCAACTCAGCCATCGCGCTGCTGTCCAGACCGATGGGGCTGATACCGCGTATCAGCAAACTCTGCAAGGTAACTAATATTCTGCATATGACCGCGAGGTGAAATTATACACACGACAATGAGCTAAAACTCTGTACATGACCATGAAGAACATCATGTTTATCATTTAGAGAGCTCTACACACAACAATGTTCATAATATACGAAACCCCCCCGCGATGGGGAGAAATGGTATAATTGGCATCAATCTGTCGATTTTCTAAAAAATTTTCGCGGCAGCTGTGAAGAATATTTCACTGCGCAAACAGAGTTTCATCTTCCTCATCGATAATTTTTTCTATAATTATTCAATGAAACTTTGTCATCTTCAATGAATAATGTAATGATTTCTCAAACAGAATTAAACAACATTTTAAGAGACGAATGCCTCAAACAAGCACGAGGATGACATGCATGCCTGACGTAGGCATGAGCCTCACCGTCTTGAGGTCACTGACGTGCAGCGACGCCAAGTTCCTTGTCGCTTCCCTGCTTGGTCCCCAGACTGTGTGTCCTGCGGAGCTGTCGTCAGCGAGAGTTGACGCAGGGCTACCCTCAAGAAAGGGTGGCACGGGGCAGTCCCCAAGGGCAGGGGGCGCAGACACTGGCACTAGGGCACCCGCCTCATGGGCGAGGGCGCGGTCGTGGCAAAGGAGCCAGCGTGCGTGGTCACGTAAGCGCTTACGATTCAGCGCCGCGCTCAGACCGTGTAGTTTCAGCAGCGACCGCTGCGAAAACGGCAACGTTGAGCAATGACTGATGGACTAACGAGAGAAATCTGGTACTCTTAAGTGGAAGTGATATAATTAAGCTATTTCCTTCGATTGCTGCAAAGAAGCACGCAACAAAAACAGTGAGTTGTCAGCTAAAATTGCTTCAGCGTCGTTCTTACTTCTATTATGAGAGCTAACATGATGAGACAAACAATAATTTTGTTCATAAATAAAAATTGGCAGACTTCATGGCACCTGAAGTAAAAATCTACAAAGAGTTGTACTGATGCTCACCGTATATAAGAATCAAACAATAGCACCATTAATGAAATAAGACATGTCAGCAGACCGAGTGGTGGTGCTTCATTTTGCGTAGGCTGTACGGGGCGTCAGAGAACAGCTGCTGCAGCTGAAGGACTTGCTCCTGTCGGGGGTGACGTCCAGACCCCAGCAGATGGCACACGGACTGCATGCGAACACGCTGCCCTAGGGGCTCCACGCCCTCAACACTCGCCTGTAGGCACCTGGGAGAGCACGTATTGTGTGGGTGAATGAGTGCGGCCACCCATAACTGCAATTTACGTCAACCAAAACCGATCCTTCACTCAGTGTGATGTAATCCAATGTCTACTGGAAGAAAAGTAAACAGGAATTTTGGAACGGAAATCATTGGCGACGGTTACTGTGTCTGTAGACAAAAAGTTAATCGATAGTGTAGCTACTGAACATTCCCTTCGTTACCAGGGATTTAGGTACGAATAACATTGATCTAGACCTTAAGAGCCCCCCAGGTAACTCGTACCCAGAGTTCGTTTAGTGACACAAACCCAAGGCCATGCTGCAAGCACCACCCCCGACGCCTAGCAAGCGCCGCCCACTCGTGACACCAAAAAATTAAATGAGCTTCCAGAGGCTCGAACCCACGGCTAGTTCATCTCGGGGCCGCTACCATTGAGCTACATTGGCGGTTAAAGTGTCCGTAGGTAAAAGGTTAATCCATTGTTTACCGATATTAACATTCATCACCAGGTCTTTAGGTACGAATATCATTGTTGACGGTTAATTAGTCCGTTGACAAGAAATTAAAAAAAAAGAACGAGTCCCGCAGCCCACCAAAATATACAGTGGGGGGAAATAAATATTCGTACACTTGAAAAATCGTATTTTAATGTATGTAAGTACACAAACTTAACAGGAAAAGTGATTTAAATTATGTATAGAGACGCATAGTATTCAAAAATACTATCAAAATAAATTAAATCTCAATGCAACAAAAAACAATGCAACATGTTCACTTTTCGGGTGAAAAAAGTATTCGTACAAAACAATAAATCGGCATTATTTTAATTTAATACTTGGTTGAATACCCTTTACTCAGCTCTACAGATACCAGTCTATTTCTATACGTCTCGACCAATGATTTGCAGATGCTGACTGGTATTTTATACCATTCTTCTTGGCACACCACCTTAAGATTCTCAATGTTTGTTGGGGACCTTTTCTTAATTTGAATCAACTAATTCTATCGCGTTGGAAGGAAGGAGAAAGTTATAGGAAGATTGCTAGCCACTTGAATGTTCCCTTTAGTACAGTTGCTTCGTTCATTGGACGCTTCAAGACCCGTGACAGCGTTGAAAACCAAAGACGATCAGGTGCTCAATTTAAATCACTTTTCCTGTTAAGTTTGTGTACTTACATACATTAAAATACGATTTTTCAAGTGTACGAATATTTATTTCCCCCTACTGTAATTAAACCATCCATCACTCAGCAATCAACAAGACACAATTAAATAAAGCAATTAATGTGATAACTAACGCGCCAGTAAACACAAAAAAACTAATAGTTATCGCGTTCATCAACACTTACCAAGACACTCAAGTGTCACTATGAAATATCGATATAATTAAGTGAATGAGATGGGAAGCCAACGCCTCAGCCGTGATGTCCCTTTATTTATTCCCTAGGTATTCCGTGCAAGCATCCTGCATGCGCTAACCTGAAGACGGGCCGCGCGTGCTGCACGCGGCGGCGCAGGTCGCGCATGGCGAAATCATGACTCTGCTGCAGGTCCCAGAAGTGCCGGCACAGCAGCTGCCGAGGGAAGAAGTATCTGCACGCCAACGGCACTTGATAGGAGAACCTCAGTCGAAAAAATCGTCCGGCATGTATAAACTATTACTCAAGGGGCTAGAGTGACTACCATCTTATATTTTTTAATGAACAAAAGTAAGGACAGGATTATACGGGAAATAAAACGAGATGTTGCATGCCCAAGTAGACCGAATTCTAGCTGAGAATATTATGTGTTCACAAGTGCTTTATTATTAACAACAATCAAACCCTTTACTAATGAACTATGTTGGAAATACAAGTTCCTGCATTGAATCAAATTATTAACTTATAGAGAGCGTCGCCTAGTTATTCGATATTCCTTCATATTCCATCGAGTTAACTCCTGCAGGGGTAGGGGGAACTGACCCGAGAGGGAGCGCGAGGTTCTGACCAAACGGCACGGCGGAGATGAGGAGCACAGGGAACACCTTGACCATGTCGTGGGGCATGAAGTGGTAGAGCTCCAGCTGCTGACGGGACAGTCCCTCCAGACGCCCGCTGGGGAATGATAGTGTCACCAGCACACGCACGTAGCCCCTGGGTACATATGAGACAAGCGAGAATGGTGACGGGGCGACGAAATTATGTTGGACGAATTTACATTTTGTTGAACGAATTTAAATGATATTTATGAGGCGTCAATGGCTGTATGTGATGATTTCTCAATAAATACTATGATGATTTCACGAGAAGAATTTAACAATATTTTACGAAACGAGTATACCTAAAACAAGCACGAGGATGACATTCATACCTGCCGTTCAATTTAATTTTTAAGCATAATTATTATGTTGGAGGAATCTACGGTATGTAAGAGGAATCTTTATTACGTTAGAGGAATCTATACTATACTGGAGGAATTGCTTTTTAATATTCAAATGCAGAACATGAAGCCTGCTAGAAAACACTGGTCGTAAACGCTTGAAATGATGAGCAATCTTTAAAATATTAAATCACCATAATGACAATGATACGAATAATACTAATCGCGCTCCATATTAACGATCATCCATCATAATAATCAAATATCAAAACCTTTCGAGGTTAAGAGCAAAATAAAAATCGCTAGGTCGTAGCGGTGCGTACGTGAAGTCTTTGATGAAGGACTTGAGCCCAACGCTGAATATTCTGAACATTCTGAAGGTGCGCGGCATCTCGTTCTCTAGGGACTTCTGCAGGCGCTCGACGTACCAACTGTAGCGGGAGATCACGTAGCCCAGCACGCCCTTAGGCCGCGGCTCCTGAGACAACGGACTGACCGTCGGCACGAGTTCTGACGACCCAGCCGAGGGGCGAGGTGTCCCCGTGTTGTGATCAACAGGAACTTCAGAGGCACAAGTTTCGTTATTGTCACCGCGGCGTGTGACTTCTGCACTCTCAGGAACGCGGATTGGGGCGGGAGTGCATCCAGTGTTTTCTTTTCGGTTGGGCTCACAAGGAGCGATCCCTTCAATAATAGAATCTTTGGTAACATTAGCGCCTTGGTGTTGCGTAGGAGCATCTTTGGTGGCGTGGTCATGAGGGAAATAGTCGTTGGATTTAATAGAAAAACGTGTTTGCTGAAATGTTAACGGAATGTAAGTTAATGGGGAGTATAGAATAGAATTTATACACGAGTGATGTCTAGAATTTTTAAGCATAATTGATGAGGTAGTTGAGGCCACACATGGGCGAGAGCAAGAATATATGGGTAATTTAGGTAAACTGCTCTCAAATCCACTCTCTGAGGAACAAATTTTTGTAGAACCGAAGTTTCTTAATGAACTAAACCGTGAAGATTGAATTCTAAAGTTACAATATTCGAGAGGGAGCATCAGTTGGCAGGAGTAAGGTTCACGGCGAGTTACTGCTCGGCCATTGTTCGGCGTTCCGATGCTGTAGTTTGCTTTGGTGCGGGCGTTTATCCCAACACATGAGCCAAGTGGAGTAGCGCAAGCCAAAGTCTTTGAAGAACAACAAGACGATAACTTCCGTGACGAAATGGCCTTCTGAGAGGACAGCTTGCATCGCCGTAGTGGGTAGCTTGCAGTGAACCCATGTCGAGAAAGGCGGCTGCGAGAATTGAGAACCGTGAGTCAAACGTTGACAACTCGAGGACATTCCATCATCATCACTTTTTTTTAATCATCACTTTACGAGAATATAAAAGCTTGATAAACCTACGATATAAGCAATCAAGTGATATTTATACTTATCTCTATATAAAATTATTCATCATTTTTTCATCATACTTAGACAACTTCAGCACAAAATTTTCGTTAGGTGTGCTTCTAAAGAATATATTGTTCCGTCTTATAATTATAATAATAGAACTGACCTTCGCGCCCTGAACGCGATGGAGGACCAGTAAACCATGACTAGTTTATGATTGAGCGTCAAGTGCATTAGTTCTTCAGACCATCCTGCACTGAAAGTCAAGAGAAATGTTTACCACCAATCATGTTATAGGCCTACGTTCTGAAGCTTGTTTTGAAGAAGAGAGTTCACCTCACGAGAGACGAAGGAAGAACATCAGAAGTAGTGAAGGGGTCTAATGCTGCAAAACTTTCCAACAGGAAATTAGAATAAATTCATTACCAATTGACCAAGTGTAAGGATTCGATCGGCGAGAAATTTCTAAATGGAAAGTCATTCATCGCTCACAAGGGGCGTGAGGTCTCGAATGGCCAGCACTCGAATATGGCGAGAGAAACTCAGCATAAACACTTAAATGACTTAAAAAATGGTGAAAGAAAAGCTGGACAAGAAATGAAACGAAGAAATAACTCGTAAAGGAATTCACCACCAGCACGGGAGACAGTAGAGAACTATAAGCAGTACTCTATACATGATAATTCAATCACACAACTGTGACCCGAACACCGTGAGCTTTGTGGTTGGCTGCCCTGCAGCAACATTACGGTTTAGACAAATTCTGACGCTCTTGGGGCGAGGGAGCGAGGGGGAGCCGCCCCTTGGTGCGGCCTTGTAATGGTCGCACCCCCTGCGGAAGTTCCGTATCAACCAGCTCCATGGGGCACGCTCGTGAGCAATTTTGGATGCTTTGTTTTTCTGATCAGGATTAATTTACTGGCATAAAAGGTACAACAAACGCTAGTCGAGAAGTATCTCGAACAAAGGACATGTATTATTGAACGTAAGGAAGACATTTCTGAGCACGCATGGGCATGAACTACTCACTAGTGATATCCGACATGGTAACCTGGTCCTGGGAGGGCGATATATACGATGATGGCAGGATATCTGAGAGCTTACACTCTGAATAAGGATGCAGGAAAAAAACAACGATCGAAAAAAATAAAGTGTTTGGTACAGTCTAACATAGATTCTTAACACTATATAAATGATTCCACAAGTATTTTTGAGATACATTACTCAATAAACCGCGATTATCCCATTTATGTCACAACGGAGCTGCTAATAGAAGCTCTTCAAAATGGAACTATTAATCACAGTCACTCGCATATTTCACTCTATCCGCATAATTTATTTATTTATTAACACTCGGCTTCGTAAAATATTACCTATGCGCATACGAATTATCTATGCAAATTAAATTGACACAATTGATTCTAGGCACCAGCTGTTACTAAGCTGGCACCCAGGCTGCGAAGCGTGTTTGCTAAGCTAAGTAGAAAGGAAAGAATCAACGGCACAATTAAAGTAAGCGCTGATTTACGTAACCCATGAAGTCTTTTAGGGGAAAATGGACGTGCATTAATATTTTTTTTAATGGAAAACGCTCCTATCTGAAAAGTCTTGAGTGTAGCAGAGGTTTTCGATATTTATACTGACGTTAATTTTCAACAATAAATCAAATATATAAAATTGAACCAAATCGACAAATCTGGAAGTCATTGCCATAAAGGTGTCTGTCATTTCCATTCATAATAAAGGACATTCTGCATACGAGACAATGAATAAGGAAGTAATTTGAAAATACACTACGTTGTTGAACTACATGGTTTGCTCAAAGAATCGAGACTTGGCTTTCCTACAGATATTTATGCCGGCACTCAAAGACCCCTCAGGGGGGACTTCTGATGCGTGTCTGTGCTCGTCAGAAGTCCTATGGGATCTCGCGCTCCTAGGGGGATTGTTCCTGAGCGCACCACCGTTGAGCTCGCGGTGTCTGACTGCAGATCTCAGTTGTGGGGTTAAGTTATTATATAGGTAGGATTCCTTACATTTCCCTTCTCTGTCTCTCTCGTGCGGGCGGCCGACGTCCCGTGTAAGCGACCTCTTGTTCGAGTGTCTTCGTTTCTGTTGCTTTCCACCTGTCCCTCCTTGTCACTTCGTCTCTTTGAGATGCTAACGCTGCTTCCTTCGAGCCAGCTTCAGCGGGCTGGACATCTGAGACCTTCCGCCCCTTGTGGGTGATGAATAATTGAGACCTTCCACCTCTACGGTGATGTTCATCTTGACTTTCGGTGCGAGATAGCTAAATAGCTGAAGCGCTAGTAAACATTTGGCCACTAAACTAACTAAACGGCACTCAAAGAAATGCATGAGAATTTGTCCAGATAATGGTGCACTTTTTGGCCTTGTCATGGTCCACCTGAACCTGTTTTGCACGGCAAAATGACTTATTATTGTTACGACCGCCCTTTGTGTTGTGGGTAAGAGAACATGTGAGTATTTGAACAATATGACTCAATAATTTAGAGCCATCCTAAATAATGCAACACAGTACGTCGCGGTCTGCGGAGAACAATGACAACAAAAATGGCTGGTACCTCCGCCGCTCACAACTCCCCAACTTGTTTACGATGCTTACAGTCACACAAAACAAACAGAAATTTCATCACAGGAACTACCTCGGAAACAATCGCAAATATAATAAAAGATGCATTTTATCACAAGTACTGCCTTTTTAAAAATCACTAAGATAAAAAATATATCATAAATATAAACCTTAACCAATAATTTAGTGAAAAGCACGTCTAGTGCTCATCCTATATAAAGTTGTGTGATAAGTCTCAAGTCCCCCTACCCACCTGGCCCGTGACGTTGAATCAACGGTGAATAAACATTGATTCAACCAAACGACATTTAATTTAACATAGATTCAACATCAGATGTCTGGTGGGTAAAAATTGAACGACTCGTGGCTTACATATGCTGACAGTCAAGCTTGAGGCTTGACGGCCAAGCTTGAGGCTTGACGGCCAAGCTTGAGGCTTGACGGCCAAGCTTGAGGCTTGACGGTCAAGCTTGAGGCTTGACGGTCAAGCTTGAGGCTTGACGGCCAAGCTTGAGGCTTGACGGGCAAGCTTGAGGCTTGATTAAATCTGCAGCCGCATGCTGCCATGTGGAGAGCCTGAATACATCATTTAAAAATGAAAGCATTCCGTACATAATATACAGGGGCGGCCTTCAATGAAATTACTAAATATTGAATTGGTATTTAGAAATTTAATAATTAATTTTAAGCTAACTCCTAAATGTGATTGGCTTTAGATTCTGCGCTTATCTCTGAAAATCTTGGTCTATGCGGAGTTAATTATCAAGTTTCGAATTTTAGCTACATAAACGACACAATTAAGGTACAGCAGAACTAACATGCATTTATGTTAACTTATTAAGAGATAAAAGAACAGAGTCAGAGCTGATCAAACATCTTGAATACTAGAAAAAATATTCAAAAATGAAACGGGAAATTGGCCGGGAATCGGTGCAGGCCAGAACTTTTTCAGTTTGCTGAGCTAAGAAATATGTTGACATCACAAAGTACAGTACAATAGAGCAAAAAGTCAAGTTACAATGTACACTCATAACTTGATGTCTTGATAATTGATAGGCATTAATTTTTATAAATTTTGTTATTTTTACAATAGAAATATAAATTTTTTGTACACGCAAATTTTTTTTGCTGCATTAAAAAGTATTAGCATCAAAATTTGCCTTACATGCTTCAACATTTTTTAAAACCGCACAGTTAATAGCATATGGTAGCATCTATAAACTAAGAGTATTATTTAGAGTATGCCACCCATGGATAAAAACTCGGTTTGACGTCAACCCAATCACTGCTAAAATATCGAAAACGACTTCAGCTCTGAAACTTAACAAATAATAACAAAAAAGTGAAATAAAAGGTTGCATATTATTGTATCAGAAATCCTGTACGAGGGCAAAATATGTCGGCGAACAGGTTTAAAAAATAAAATATTGCACCAGAGATCAACTGATCTCCCACAAGCATATATAAATATATGTAGGTCATCAACAAGTTTGGATATAGAAACTTGATACATGAAACCGATAAAGTAATAAGTATATATGAGTAGGATATAGGTATAAAAACATTATCATTTCGAAAATAGTAAGCTTATTGAAACACCCACAGATATTTGTCCTCCTGTTTTCCAGCCTATAGATGAGCTCTATGAGGTGGTTGCCAACCGCTCAAGGCGCGTGGAATCTTGCTGTCCTTCACCTTTGCTTTGTGCTCAGAAAACCGTTATTAAGCAGTGAGCTTCCATTACGAGGGAGACATCACAAACGTCACCATGTCATTAATTAGCCCGTTAATTATAATCCATCAGGCTTTCTTTATCCATACATATGTTCAACATGAACCCATGAATACCCACGAAGAGATGAACCCAATAAATTTTCGAAACGATTGATGCATCGAAGACGCAACCAATAAACCAGAACTAAACAGCTTCTCATGAATTAGGATGCCGGTCGGAAGTTAAGGACATTGGCTTTCCTGCGCCTGCGTATTTTGATGGCAAGTTTAGCAGCGCTGAGAGCGACGTGTAGTAGCACCGGCCACAGCAGCAGCCAGAAGGTCGAGCGCGGCGACAGCTCAGGGAACGGCCACCACTGCCGCTGACGACGCTGTGCCACCTCGCTGTCAGGAGACGATCCTCCACCACCTCCTCCTCCCCCTGCTGCTCCGTCGCTGTGAGCCTGCACAACCATCAAATGATGTGACAACATTGAAAAGCAGCATTACATTTACGGCAACAAATTATACTTATTTCTATCATACATACAACAATTACAAAGAAGGCATCAAATGAACAAGAAGGTGCCTGCAAGTTGATTCAAAGCCCTTGCTATGTCAAACAACGTCATTGTCATGGGATGGCTCATAGTGAACAGCATTAGTTCAAATTAGCAAACAAAATGACATGAAGGCCATAATTATCGAGCAACTTTACTATAGTGATAGGGACATTATACGGTACAATTAATTAACTCCAAAACCCATTTGCATGAAAATAATAGTTGTAAAATTTTACAGTAAAATTTATGAGCAATCAACACCCCGACATGAGGAAAGCTACACCAAATCATGCAATAGCTCCAGTTAATTCACGTCACCTGGAGTGCAATGCTAGTGCGATTGAGCGCAACAAGGCATTGGGAGATGTCATTAAGGTGAGCTTGTAGGCACCGCGTCATGGCCTGCAGATCTCCCTGCATCTGGCGCAACACTATCACCACATCATCACCGCCACCTCCTCCCTGCCCTTGCTCATACGTTACAAGTCCTGGCAGGGACTGCGGTGCGACTCCCTTGTTGGTCACACTGGCGCACCACGCACGGCCACGTGACGTGCACTGAGCAGAAGCAGGTGACGCGGCGCTGACTTCAGCAAATTGCTGATCAGTGCCAGTGGGGATGTGGTTGTTCAGTTCACAAATTGAGCTGCTGTCACTGGCAGACTCGTCTCCTGTGAGCCCTGAAGGGTGGTGTTGTTCACGGCTGTTGCAATTCAATGTAGGGAAGCCTTTGCGATTTGTGACTTTATTGGGCAAGCCATTGCCGTTGATCACAACACATTCGTCACCTGATAACTCCTGTACAAAGGTTGCAGTAATATAGAATGCACCACTGAAGAGTGGTGATTGGCTTAGCAAGCTTCTGGAGCCACAAGCAAACGATCACATTTTCACTTGCAACATTTTTTGTTCTTAAAACTTAGTTCTGCCAAAAAGCTCTTATCAAATGAGAAAAAATGTTTGTTGTTATTTTGAATACTAGATTCAGAAGAATATTTCCGATAATGGGGAATTAGAACAATTTATTTGAAAGCATATATTGATCTGGGGTCAAACAAACCATCAAGGCCACAAACTAAATAAAGATGGGAACCTCACCTCAGGAGGCATGGCATACTCTTCCTCAGAGTCTGTGTCTGAATACACAGCAGCAGATTTGTTTGGTCTCACTCCATCTTGACGTTGTGCAGATGACAGATTATTTTGTGCAGAGGATGCAACACTGGGCAATTCCCCAGAATTAGGGCCCATGAAGTAGCTTTTGCTTACCACACCATTACGTTTCTGCACAAAAATTCAATTCAATCATGCCTGTAACTTAAGCATTGGACTATAATGCATAATATAATAATGTATTTGAATGATAGTTACAACTTTCACAAAAATATTACAGTGGAATTTTTATTTGAAATCGATGAAAGCCTAACAATCCCTATATAACTATGGTGAGTCAGTAAAATTTAAAATACAACTCACCACGTCACCATTGCTAATAAATCCATTTTTAAGTGGAACCTTATTCCACTTGTCCTGCTCATGACAATACACCACTGCATCTGCATTGTCTACTTTGTGTTCATGGATGCCATTTGTTACCAACTTCTCTGCTACTTCATACTGCAGTGGACCAGTAGCATCAGCTGCGATGTCTTGACGGAAAGAGTCAGATTCTGGAGCTGGCTGTTCATGTTGATGAAAAGCTGTATTTTGTATGATTGTATTTGACTGAATGGAAACTTCCTTTGAGGGCATTTCAACATAGTCATAAAATGGTCCTAAGGCTTCCATGAATGAAGCCACATCTGCACTGTAGGACATGGTCTCGATAATCTGAAACAAATGAAGATACTTGATTATTTGGGATGGTATAGATGCTGCTTGATTCTTGAATTTCAGCAAACAACATATTATTAGATACACATTTAAGGCCAGTCTAATGACCCTTTTTGTACAAAGAGCAATATACTTTGCCTTAATTAAGCATTAAATCTCACAATATCATAAACAAGGTTAGGACATGACAACGTTCCACAATTTCTATTCCTGAATAAAATCAGTACAGGTATACAGTACATACCTTCTTCAATTCTGCCACATATTTTTCCATGGCTTCTTCTTTTGAGATGTTTCCTAAACTGTTCCAAGCTCTCCATTTGTAGCCAGCAATGACTTGATAAAATGGAGGTTTGGGTTCAGTGCATGGTCCCTCGGTTGCTTGCTTGTAGAGACCATAAAAAATCTGCTTCATCTCATTTGATGGTTGATAAGGACCTGAATAGAAGAAATTAAATTGATTTTTTAAAACATGCCCAAGTAAACTACAACTTTTATTATACAAACTACCAAGTTTTATGAAAATGAGGGCTTTCAGTACCTACAGTCAGAATTGGAATTTTCCCACTTATTACAGAAATCTTGCCAAGTGACAAATTGACATTAAAATCTTGTGGCATGATTTTTTATCAACAAATGGATAGAAAGTAATTTATCTAGCAGGATCCTGGTGCTTCCAAAAATAGCAAGAGAGTTGTAATTGCAGCTCAAAATGTATATAAATATTCCATGCCTGCCTACAGTGATTAGCAGCCTGCTGGCTGGAATATCTCTACCCTTCAGGTTACAACTAGAGCATTTCTGCCATTTTTTGGAACTGTGAAATTCATGCTAAATGATTTACCTTGTATCTAATTGGTAATATAAGTGCCCAACTCTAAAATAGAGATTCTACGTGCTAGTGAAAATTTTACATTTTGGAGCTGCAAGATTTCAGTTACAAGTTAAATCCAATTCTATTTAAGCCTTCTAGGTGGCTGCAGCTTTTAAATTTCTAGACTCATGAAACAAGCAGACCTGTGCTATAAACAAACAAGCAAAATTCTTATAATTCCAATCAAGGGATGAGGCAAATAAAATAAATGAGGTCTGCCTGTTAAAGGGTTAAAGCTATCATATGGAATCTTTGAAAAAATCCCATATGCTATTCGTTAGGTGCCAGATGCAAAATAAAAGCACCCTAAATTACCCTTGGGAACGGGGTAATTTGGGACACTGGAAATAAAACTTAATTTTACAACGTTTGAAGCATGCAAAGTGTACTCATCCATTACTAACAGTACTCTTAAGTCCTCCTCTTCCTTTGTAGATGATGTAGATGTAGAATAAATTATATTTTTTGTGATTTTTATGCATTTTACCTTTATTGAGCATTACAACAACCTTGTCCACTGCAAGCTTCATATCAGCAGCCTAATAGCATTTCTTCTGTATCTGTAAGCTTACAGGATAGCTTGCAATTTCACACCATTTTAGTTGGGTCAAGTGAATTCACAATAACAAAAAAAGATTGTAAAAACATACACGAAACAGAAAGAAGTGGTATTTTAGTGACAACCATCATATATTTTGGAGAAATAAATCATAGTTTAGATGAATTACTTAACATTCTATGTTGCCCAGTGCACAATTCTATAATCTATTTATGACATTCAATGCACAATTTTGTTATGACCAATGATGCATTAATTTTTGGTCAAGTAAAATTTTTTGTGCAGAGCAAGGTAAACTTAATCAAAATTTTTTCTTGTAAACTGATTTTTTTTGTTAACTGGAGCCATTGCTAATCAAGGTTCTACAGTATATTTAGAACCAGAAAAAAAATAAATGTAAATGTAGCAAATGTAAAATGTAGTATGTAAAAAATGTAGTAAATGCAAAAATGAGACTGGGGAGCCACAACAACAGTAAATGTGTCTTTAAGGGTGTCCCTTAACCCTTATTATACTGGGGAGTGGGGGGAGGTGTTCCTTATTACTACATCTTGCAGAAATGGCAGTCATTTTTTTAATGAAATACCTATGCAAATTCTTCCAATCACATTTTTAAGCCAATACCTAATACCTATATGCAACTTTTATGTAAGTAAAATTTTTTAATATGGCAAATATTTTTTTACAGACCTTAGCAGAGCCAGAGGTACTTTTCCAAAATCTCACTTTTTAAACTTTTTTCAGTGATTTTTTTAGTGGTAGTAACTAGTAAATCTATTAATATGATTTCTTAACTTGCTTTATGTTACATAGATAGTAAATAGGTATATTGAACTTCATGCCACTATTTTAAAGTTTTGCAATATTTTGATTACAGTTTAGCTGCTACATCATTTGTATGAAATGTAGGACAACTGTCCCCATTTACCCCACCAGCCACCTGTCGTCCCTTATTACCCCGTTTGATTGTAGATATATTTCTTGCCAGTCAGCTGGCTGCTGGCAGAATAAATTAGACATTTTATTTACACATAAACAAATGTGTGGTTGAATTTTAACCAAAAAGGCAATCTTTAAACTTAAATAGAACAAGATTACATGTTGTTATACCCCTAGTTGAAGGACCAGTGGCATTGTCAACATTTAATTCTGCAATTGAGATGAGAACAAAACAACCTAATTTCATGGGACATGGGCGTTTTGGATATTTCTAGTAAAAACCAACAACTACACAACCTATAGAACCTAATTTGTACTAAAATTAGAACAAGCCTACATATTACTAAAATCTAGTTGCTTCAGGTTCAAAGTGAAAGATTTAAAATTATTTTTGAATCTCACAGCCTGGCCAGCCGCTGGCTGACCTAGGTAGCTCCATTGTTAGTGTTTCACTTTTCTTAAGAATTAAAGGAGCTTTAGAGTGATTAGACGGTAATTCAAGGCGAAATGTACGTAAAAATTTGTCAGTGATAACTCACCATCTTTTGGAAGCCCTTTGATGACATTAACAGCAGCTTGAAACTTTTCCTCAGTTGTCATTTTGTACGGGTTATCTTAGCTTTTATCGTTAATCATGTCGCTGACGCAGAAGCAAAGGGTAATGGACTAATTTCGGATCAGCGACTTTCAATACTTACGTCTCCGCTACAGCGGCTGAAAATTTGGTACTGATTTTGGGTCCTCATTTTTTCAGCCATGAACCAATTTTCATTCAATTATGTGGCTTTTGTTCTGAATTTTGTCATGGTCACTTTAATAATGGGTAAATTACTGATCATGTTTCGAAATTTTTTGAGCGATCTACATTTCAGCTAAGCAGGTAAGGAAGAATTATTAGTTTTCACGAAAGGTCATTCAGAATTGCTCAAGCCACTTTTTGGAAGTTTGAGTGCAACTGACACAAACGCAGTTTAAATCAAACAAGAGCTGCACAACAGCACTTAATTTCATTCCACCATAAATTTGGTTTAAATTCATATAAATCGAATCATCTACTTATTATTTATCCCAGACCATAATATATCCATCTGATGGTTGAGGTTTCACTGAAAGTTATATCAATGGTCACCTAAATTTGGCACTGAGCGTAAAAAAAATTGGGCCATACAAACGTCACCGGTAAAAAAGTACTGCCAACAAGTAAAATTTCTATTGGAAAATAAGTAAGGAAGCTCAAAATGAATTTACTTCCTATTATCAAGTCATCCACTAGTGTTGCAGTTTTGCATTGGTCAAACATTCTGCAATTTGGCCGGGGAAGATTGAAAGGCACGTTACGCATTGGCGTAACTAGTCTTGTTCCCGATACTTTTCTAAACACAGCTTTTGCCGGCACCATTGTAAAATGAAACGATTAATTAAACATGGAGATCAATCATCCTCAAAAGAACTTTATATAGAACTTTCTTCGTGATGCGTTTTCGTTATACAACGTTATCGATTTCGTTATATAACTTTCTTCGTGATGCGACGCAAGAAAACATTGGTAACTCCAGTAAATGTTCTCAGTTGTTGACCGACTCGCAGCCTTCGTTTGGTGTCGTTTGTGGCGCCGGCCTCTACGCACGTAAATGGCGGCGTCTTGGGTGGCGGACATGACAAGGAAGGTGAAATAGGAGAGGTCCTCGGAGGCTTCAAAGGCTATGAAATGACGAGCCAAGGGGAAGAAAATTTTCGGGGAAGACCAAGATTCACAGAACAAGTATAAAATAGTGAAAGCAAATATTATCAAGGTAATCAAGAGAACATTGAGTTACGCAAGGAATGAAAGAACAAAAACGCAGAGACAGATCATATAATTCCTCATGTTGTCAATTAAAACCCTTACATCGGTATAGAGAAGCCTCGAATATAAGCATTGTTCTATATCCTAATGGGGAAAAAAGTCCAAGATATCCCCTACAAGCTGCAACACTTGCAGCTCGTTTGATCAATGAGAATGTTAAATGAAGTGGTGAGAAGCCTTCCTTGGAACAAAGCTACAAGCCGATAACTATCTGCTCTGAGTGTTGATGGAGCAAATAGTTCGAGTTCGTAACTAAAGCAAACAAAATAATACTGACCCGAAGTATCAGGGACATAAGAGAATATCACAAAGCTCATACTAAAAATACCCTAAAAGAATTATTCAATGAAATTATGGAACTCATAAGTCTTCTTTTGGCTCTCATAAAAAAATTCCTAACGCATAAGAATTATAAAGTTAGGATGGCATGGATAAAAAAAGGTAACTCAGTGACGGATCTCGTGTACCATACTTCCTCTTGCCATGATCCTTGAATTATATCAAATATGAAAAAAAAATTGATAGACATGTACGTATCACATTTAGAGATGGACATGACCAATTCGGTTTATAAGTAATTGATAGAGTAATTACTAAACTTAAAAGTACGTCAACAAAAACTTGAAGCAAACTAGCAATGGAAATTATGAGTACGTTGATATCGAGTGCGATTTGACCTAATAGAAACGCGCGATACAACACTAAATGAGAGAATGCTCGTACAAAGATAAAAAGCTTTACTTAGAGAGAAAAGGAATCTTCCTTCCATCTCTCAACACCGATGGTAGTTCATTGTTGGTTCAGATTAAGAAATCCCCACAATTTACAGTGGCTTTTAATTTAAGCAGAGTAACCTAATACGGCTAAGTAACATCTACGCAATCACGTACAGGAGATACATTGATGCCTTCTTTACATTATAGTGACAAACGAGTTCATCTCCAAGAGCCCTTTTCTAGCAATTTCGACGGCACCAGGTCATATTAGTTTTTAATGAATGTATTATTTCATTAATCCGTCACTCTAGCTAACAGGCGAGAAAATTCATCTCTAATAGTTTACTAACGAGTATCAAGAATATTTTCAAGTCTAGAAAAAGTGTTAAGGCATCTTAGAGAACAAACGCGCTTGTCACTAAGTTTTACATCCATCAAGGCTCAAGATTAATGACAAGAGCGGCCACATAGCTCTGGTTGAGATGTTTTCTTCATTCTGAGTTGTGGAAGCCAGCGAACATAGCAGCGACAGTAATCTGTTGTTCAGGGTATACGACCCAGACACCTTGACCAAAGCCAAACACCCTAGCACCGTCTATGTTGAAGCGTGTCACACTCTCGTCAGTGACGACATCAGAAGAGTCGCAGTCCTGCAACAAATCCTCAACTGAATCACTTTTGTCCTTATCGTCTTCTTTGTTTACAGACTCGTTCATTGCAGCTTCAATGTCACTCATGGTCAGGTCATCGCCACCTTCGTTATCAGTAGCTGCTTTGTTGTCGTCTCTTTCTAATTCACCAGATACATCATTGGAAGATTTTCCGTGGTCTACAGCTAGTTCAATTGTGTCATCTAGAGAACTATTAGGCTGCTCAACACTAGCCTTAGAGCTCACCCTTGTACGGGACTCTACCTCCAGCTGGCGAGCCAAAATGACGTCATATCCTGTAGTTCTGGGATGAACTTTGCGAGTATTGCAGCCCAGTGTAATGTGAGCGCGAGAGCCTTTAGCTGAGTTGGGCAAGGAATCAATGCATTTCTCGTCTCTAGGGATCAGCTTGAGAGTTTTCTTATTGGCGTCAAACCCTCTGAATTCTTCTGCATCATCTTCCTCGTGTTCAGAAACATCATTGTCATGATTTGTGGATGAATCAGCAACATCGGTAGGGAAAATAAAAATTTTCTGTTGTTCAATCATTTCTCTGATGACCTTAGGGACCGCAGGGGCGTCGTCGTTATCCCACAGACAGAGCTGCTCGTCGCTAAGCTTCACGCAGGCGCCGAAGGTGCGCGGCGTGACAACGAAGCCCACGATGTTGAGGGTCGACACGAGGCCTAGCGCTCGCTGCACCTCACGACGCGCCGTGTAGAGCACATCGCTGGATGATGAACTGCCCTTAGCGGTGCAGTGCAGGATCTGCGGACCACCCACCGTGTTGTTGGCAACGTACGACGCCAAGAAATCTGAGACAAAATTATGAAAGATATAATATCATCAAAATTATATACTTACCAATGGTGTAGGAAAAGAAAGTTTTGATAAAACACCCTGTTAAGTAAGAGATGTGCTGTTCCAGATCACTTAACCACGAGAGAATTAGTATTCATCACCAGACGGAGACAAATTGTCACCCCTTGTAGGTTAATGAAGTTAAAAAAATATGCACGTGCTAATACGGTATTTCCTAATCCTAAGTTCAAACAACGTGATAAATACTCGTGTAATCCTTAACATTTAAAAATTCTCACCCTTGACAGTTGTGTGTCCAGAGCGAGGCAAGATGTCCTTCCTGAAGACACTGACGTCAAACAGGCGTTTGAGCAGCTGGCGCGACAGGGTCATGAGTTCGACCGAGTCTGTGAGGCTCAGGAACCAGCTGTAGCAGAATGGCAGGCTGTCCTTCGCTGGCTGCTCAAATCATAGACTATGATCTCACAAGGCATGTATACGGAAAAAACAAGAAAATTATGCTTCCTTGCAGCTGGAAAAATTAGAAGAGTGTAGTAGAATGTAGCAGGTTGGAAAGTTGAAGCACCTGGCGGAGATGAGTAGAAAATGCCATCCTACAGCAGTACAGAGAGTTGGGAAGAGGGCAATACCTACCTAAAAGGAAAGTAGGTAAATAGTTGACTAGACAATGTAATGAGTAAAAATAATTACACTGTGTTATTCTCTGGAAAATGTTACCTGGAAAGCTGGCGCAGAGAAGGCAGCTTCATGGATCACCAGCGAGATGTAGTTGGCGGAGTGAGCAATGAGGAAGTACGGGGCCACGTGCGCCCTCACCGCCGCCTCGACGATGACTGGCGTCTGCTGCTGTGTCACGCAGGCCTCCAGCTGCTTCAGCCCGTCGCCGCGATGAGCTCCACGTCTGAGCGCCATCATCCACCATTAATCATATTTTTTAGGGTATCAGTCACTGTTCAGTATTTTACCATCCTTGCTTGAGCAAAACCACTATAAGATATACACTATCAGTTACTGTAAAATAGAGTTTTTCTAGTTCACCATCATTACTGTTATTTCTGCTGCTCATTAAGCAAATCTATGATAATTTGTTTGAAGCTGGTAAAAAGGAATCATTCATTAGGTTGGGAGCAATCATGGGTAATCATTTGAAAAATTAAATTATTACGTACTTTCTCTTATGAAAGACACATACATACGGTACAGCTATGTGGACACACTTGAAGCCAATATCAATCAAAAAGGGTATCTTCCAGCTCCAAAATTGACGGTAAAATTTACGTGTTCGTAAATTTAATTATTAGGGGCAGAAGCCTGAAGCTCTGATACAAACCTTGTCTTCTTGCCAGGCTTGGCAGGGGCACTGATGCATGGGGCATTAGGGAATTGCTGTCTCAGCTCACGCACGAGAGCACAACTGCCACCGCTACCACCAACGCTGGACCTCATCACCACCACCACAAGCTGAATGCATAAATTGAGGAAACATGAGATTGGAAAGATACAAAAAACTACTTTAGCACTTGTAACACACACTTAATCAGTGTCAGAGTTTGTTAAATCATAATAGGAGAACCGCAAAGAAAACTTTAGATAAAATGTGCTTCCAGCAGACAACAAAATATTATCAGTCCTTAAAGGTATGTAGAAAAAATATCACAAAATTGCATACATAAAGATATCTAATAAGACAAGAGAATGCATAACATCTCACCTGATGGTCACGGGCGTACTTTGCACTTATATCATCACGCAGTAGCGACAGGTCTTGGAGTTGACTACCGCCATATGATGAGTAACTCTGCTTCTGGGCTGATTTTTCAGCTTGTTGATCAACTACAATTGACTTCTCAGAAGCAGGAGCATCGAAAGTTTTGCTAGTGCATTGCCTTTTCTTTCTTGGAGACTGTGATGCTTCAGCTGCAGAATTGGAGCTCTCAAGACTGGTCTGAAGAGATACATCGCTTTCACTGCTCCATGATCGACGCCTTCTGCGACTGCTTACACTGCTGGGAGTGTCCTCTCTATGCTTCTGACTAGGTTCAACATTTACATTTTTAGCACTGTGGATAGATGCTATTCTTTGAGATCGTTTAGGTGTGGCAACTGAGGGTTGCTCTGCAGCCGAGTTAGCCAGGGATGTCTCCAAAGATTCGTCTTTCTCATTAGGAGTTTTATCTTTGTTCAAGTCTTTGTTATCTCCCAGATCACCTGGACACAAATCAGCTGAATTATCTTGAAAAACTAATGCAAGGTTTTCCTCAGTCTCAACATTTTTATTTCCTTCTTCACATGAAGACCTTGAGTTGACAGACATATTTTCTACATTCTCAACATCATCTACATCCAAAGCTTCGTCTCTAGCCTCATTAGCATCTTCAGCTTTAGCACCATCTGTATCTTCAGCTTTAGCACCATCTGCATCTTCAGCTTTAGCACCATCTTCAGCTTCACCAGCATCTTCAGCTTCACCAGCATCTTCAACATCAGCAGTATTCTTACTTTCTGGCAAACATTCAACACCATTCAAATTGGAAAACTCATCAGTGCTGCCATTGCTTTCATCCCTATTTACCACGGGAGATAAAGGTTCCCGTTCACCATTGGCAGTCTGCTTCATTTTATCATCACTTGGAACAGTGGAACTGTCAGAGGTAATGATGGACTTGAAATACTGGAAAGAAGCTACAGGAAGAGTCGACACTGCGCTGGTTGATATTAGAGAGAAACTAGGCCATTTACCTTTAGAGATTGACGAGCTGAATGTGGATTTAGAAGGGGCGTGATGATAGAACTCGTCTTCTGAGGAAGGTGCTCGCATGAATGGTTTTGCCACAGGAATATTGTCATCATTCACTTTGGTAGTAGCTTCATTCTCATTCATATGAGATTCCTTAGATTCTGTTATCCTACACTCAGATGAGAAATTCTTTCTTGTATCAGTAGAGCTATGTGTAGTGCTTGCTCGTGGAAGGGTATTTTGATCCATGTCACCTTCATCAGCACTGCTGTGAGAACGAGTCTCACTGATACCCCTCATCATTTCATGGTGGTTATTCACATCGAATTGGTCACTTGCACTATCATTGCTTTCTGAGGTATTGGAATCAAAATCTATCATATCATTTAGATCTTTATTTTTAGAGAGAACCCCATCTTTGGTATCTTTGGCAATTTCTCCTCGGTATGAAGACAGGACATTGTCTGTTCCTAAAATGGTTTCTTTGAGGATCCTTAAGCCTTTGCCAATTGTTTGGGTGAATGATTTGTTAGCAGCATTATCACTCTCGTCAAGTTCTTCAATCGTGGAGTCTTGCACAAGATGAGTGGCTGCAGGAGAAGGGCATGTCATTTCTGAATACCTACTAAAGTCCATGACTGACATGGCTCCCTTAGGAAGCTGTGAAGGAGAGTAAGGTGCTGATAAGCAAGACGCTTCCACAGTTTCTGTTTCCTTCACAGTAATATCAGTCATTTCTTCATCTGATGCCTCACTAACTTCCTCATCATTTGCCACTGCAGACTTTTCTGAAGAGAGCTGGTCATCCTGCCTGTTATCACAAGTTATACCATCATTCTCACAAGTACCATTTTCTCCAAGCTCAGCATTCACTGCAGATGATGCTTGAGATTCAACATCATCCAAAGCTGCCAGATGCTCTGAATCATCATCATCTTGTTCCTCAACTTGAGCTCTCATTGCTAAGAGTTTCCAATCTGTCTTCAGAGGAGGGGAAGCTGTTCGGTCTGGTTTCCTCTTTTTTGAATAAGAAGAAAGATCAGGTGAAGCTTTCCTTTTCAAAGATTTAGGAGTGCTCAAATTTCCTGACAGAATCTTATTGCTGCTCCCATCTAATTCTGATGGTGACTGGATCTCTCCATCCTCACGCAAAGGACGCCTGGGAGATATCAGCATTTTGCCTAAGAAGAATGACGAGCTCACCCGGCGTTGCAGAGCAGGAGATATTTTACCAAGTTCATCTCTGAAGCCCCTGGCAAGAGAACTACATGATGGTGGAAGAGGAGAAGTAGCTGTACCAGAAGCTGTCACTTCAGGTTTGGGAGAGAAATAGTTCAGTAATTTGTTGCTCAGTGTTGGGGATGTAGCATCCTTGAATGAGGAGGGAGTGGCTTCAACAGATGAACAAGCTGTTTGAGCCAAGGCTACTTCTGCAGATGAACTTTTCTTACTTTTGGCATTTTGCGTCTTTGAGGATGGCTTGCTTGTTCCTTGCCCCATGCTGATACCTGCAAAAAAGGTCTAGAAATAATGATCTCAAAAAACTTGATTGACAATTTAAAATATTAAGCATAGACTGAATTTAATTGCCATAATATGCAAAAAAAAACTAATTGGGTCAATAAAAATTCCAATCCGCATTAAATGTATGGATGAAAACACATTATTAATGAATCCCTCGCTTCATATTCTATTTTGATCACAAAGATCATTCTATGCTGATCTCACAACCCCAAAGTAGAATACTTTCAATAATTATGAAATCTTGCAGCTTGATCATGCACTGTAGTAAACCAAGGTCCAATATTGGGCAGTTTATCCAAAATTGCAGGTAAAATATATAAATATTTCTAAGCAATTCCAAGCAGGCAAATGGGTACTGTTTTTCTTATTTTTCATTAAATAAATTTGACAAGGGTCAAAAAACAAATGAAATTTACAGAAAGCACAAAGGTTTGTACCGTAAAATGGGGTAACTTAGACCGGCGGGGTAACTTAGACCACCTAATGTCAGCCCTGATGGGGTAACATAGACCGGCTTGGAAGTTAATATAAAATTACCATATATAACATACTTTATGTTTGACAGCCTATTTATGTTTTTTCTTTATGTTTCAGACTCTTCAGAGTCTTATATATGGTAATTAAACATTTCCTGTCAATCAATATCTAAAGTTGTCAATAAAATGTCAGCTACATGACGCATTGAGCCAACAACATCAAAGTATTGCTATGCAGTTTGCACAAAATGTAACACAGTACCGTAAACTGGGGTAACTTAGACTGGCGGGGTAACTTAGACCACTTTTCGTTTTTTTTAACAAAAACCCCCAAAACTCAAAAACTATTTGACATAGAAAAATTTTGTCAATGGGCATTAAAGGCCTAATACTGAGGCTACATAACACAATAGAAAGATTTAAAAAGTTTGCATATCTAATAGGTTAAAAAATAAAAATGGGACCCACAAAAAAAAGCTATTATTTAAAGCCTGTCGGAGTACCCCCTCCAATTTTTTTATTTTTTTGGTAAAATAACTCCAGGTTTTGATGCATTGTAGTAGAACTCTTCTACGGTAGTTACATATGCAAAAGACAAATTTTAGAAAAGTGTCATAGTTTGCAAATGGGGGGCACTGCCCCCCAATGGGGTAACTTTGACCACCTAATGGCAGCCGTGACGGAGTAACATTGACCGGCTTGGAAATTAAGTTAAAATTACCATAAGCACCTATGTAACATATTTTATGTTTGATACACCTATTAATGTTTTTTCTTTATGTTTCAGACTCTACAGAGTCTTATAGGTATATAGTAATTTTAACTTAATTTCCAAACCGGTCAATGTTACCCCATCACGTCTGCCATTAGATGGTCACATTTTGCCCATTTGGGGGCGGCGCTCCCCATTTGCAAACAATGACATTTTCCTAAAATTTGTCTTTTGCATATGTAACTAGAAAAGTTCTACTACATTGCACCACAACCTGGAGTTATTTGGAGTTATTTTACCAAAAAATAAATTTGATTTTACCACCCGGTCAAAGAAACCCGAAGAGCTGGGGTAACAAAGACCACTTTTTTTGAAATTACATCAAAATTATGAGAGGCAGGAGCCAGCAATTTATGGTGAGTAAAGCTAGAGTATAGACCTGTATTTTGCACGTTTCAATTTAAGTTTAACTTATCTAGTAAAAAATGGCATCATTTTGAAAAATGAAAGTGGTCAAAGTTACCCCATTTTATGGTACCGGATTACCAGAAACCTTACTTTTTTCTAAATAGTTGACCAAAGACTGACAAATATATTAAATGCAAGAATTCCAATCTAAATGTGTCGGCAAGATCTTCTGAAGGCGTAAATTTTGCTACTGAAGAGTCGCCAAAGATCTTGCAATATTCATCCACTCTCTGCACAGTGGCAAGTTTAGAGCCACAAGATTTCATAGGTCCTACCTAATGAAATTAGATGATATTAGAGCCACAATATTTCAAGAAAAGTACTAAGTAGGACTTTTCCTAACCTGCATAGCAAGAAGAAGAAGTTAAATTAAATTGTAATGAAAGACTACCTAATAATATTGTTTTGTTCATCTGTGGGTTGCAGAAAGAAACATTGCATGTGCAATTTTTTGTACAGAAAATTCCTATAAGACTAGTAGATATGGAAACTTAGCAATAAGAAATTAAGAATGACACTGATTCTGAACACTGAACAGCCTGCAGGCTGTAACTGCAAGCCTAGTACAGGAGAGTGAGGAGACTAAGGAGAGTACCTAGGCTACGTAGTGAAACGCATTGAGGTCAAAATAAAATGCATTGAAAGCTAAAAGCAGTTTGGTACAGGTTATAAAATTAAAACATTTTATTGTTTTAATATAACATGCTCAAAAAAGAGGAAAGTAGAACAAATAAGCTGTAATCAATCCGTAGATCTCGAACATAACTTACAGACTTCAGTTTCATCCAACTGCAACCGAACAACAACGCCAACCACTGTTTGGCGTTTTCCACTGCCCGGTAAACTTCTTCTTTGACGACAGCAGAATACCGGGCTCTAAAAATAGGATATCAATTTGTTGGATCTTTTCATGGGACTAAGAGTACTTTATATTGGTATTGGCGACAGTCCTCAGCAGAAAAACCATTAAATAACACTCCATGGTTAATCAACGGAAAAAATAATTGTTCTCAAACATGTTTGTTCTAATTCGGTTCGACGGAATATGCCATGATCCGTCTATTTCCATTAAAATCAAATGCCTGACAAGACAATTATACACTAACACCTAATTTTATAATTTAATGTGGTTTGAGGCAATTCGACAATTTTTTAAATAAAACTATGGAACATACAGCATCCGCCCAATAGGTCAGCAGCTTTAGGAGCAACGTCTCAAATCGTCACTCGTCAGACGTTGGCCAGTCTGTGTTGAAACGTGAAGTTGGTAGGATGCGCCCCGTACAGGTTTTCAAGATTGATTAGCATTAGCGTGGTTAGATTACTTCTACTAAAGGAACAATTGATGATTTGTTGATATTCTTGTTATCAAATGAAATAAATTGATCTATAAATATGAGGCAAATTTTTATGAAGTTCTTGGTTACACATGTGTGGCTTATTATTACAATAGTCATTGAATTTTTTGTATAATTTTCACCATAATTCTGCAATTTCATGTTAGATATTGGATAATTTTATATTCAACTTCGAAGAACGTTTCATTTAATTTACTATAATTTACTACCTTAGTTCAATGAACGCCCGAATTCTTAACAGCAGTGTCGCGTCGCTAATAGGGGACTCTGACGTATTATTGCCTCAAAATATCGGTGCATATCGATTTTTGTTTGTTTACACGTTATCGGATAGAGCGGTAGCGTTCTTATTTAAGTTGGTTTAACACAAATTTTGCTTTACTAATAATTGAAAAGAATTGCGCATGTTGACCCGTCAGGACCGGCTCCAGCAAAACATGAAGGACATTCCATCGGCCGGTCCTGCGACCGTTTTCTGTGAGCCTAAAATGTCTCGCTTACTACGTAGCTTGGACTGATAGTACGCGCGTTAATTAATAATAGCATTTTGGGATGTTTCGGCCTGAGAAATTCTCTGATATCGATTTCTTTGGCAGATAAGAGATGTAAAATAACCTATAAGGTTGTATAGGTGAAAATCTCGCGAATGAAGTTAATATTACGAATTTATTCTAAATAATAAAATAGTTGTTGAAGTCACTAACTGATTTTCTCTTAACCCGAAAATCATCGCAAGGCTACCGTAAATTTTCTATTTATTATTTTTTAGTAGTTCCGGAGCTTTTTTAAGCTCGCTGCAAATTTTGACACTTATGTCTTCTTCAATTAATGGGTTCTTCTGTTGACGCTTTGCGAATAATAATTATTTTTTTTATATGCGTACAGTCGGTATAGTGTCGGTCCAACTATAGAGTTGCGACTTGCGTCTTGCGTCGACCCTAACTAGTTGCGCCGACCCTAACTAGTTGAGCCGACCCTAACTAATTGCGCCGACCCTAACTAGTTTCGCCGACCTTAACAAGTTGCGCCGACCCTAACTAGTTGCGCCGACCTTAACAAGTTGCGCCGACCCTAACTAGCTGCGCCGACCCTAACTAGCTGCGCTGACCCTAACTAGTTGCGCCGATCCTAACTATAGTTGCGCCGACCTTATAACTAGCTGCGCTGACCCTAACTAGATGCGCCGACCCTAACTAGCTGCGCCGACCCTAACTAGATGCGCCGACCCTAACTAGATGCGCCGTCCTTAACTAGCAGCGCCGACCCTAACTAGATGCGCCGACCCTAACTAGATGCGCCGACCCTAACTAGCTGCGCCGACCCTAACTAGCTGCGCCGACCTTAAAACAAGTTGCGCCAACACCAACTATGTCAATCGTGCTTTACTAGTGTCCCTGACATCGTGTCGCAGCGTACCGCAGTCTGGTTCCATTAGTCGCAATGGTTCACCGACGTAGAATGCCATGACAGTATTTATCATGAGGTTTAAATCAACAGGTTGGCTTGATTAATCTTTGAGATCCGAGGGTCGGAAAGCCGACAACCGTCGAGATTTTCGCAACCGTTAAAATCTTAGCTGCGCAAACACTCACGACCAACCGATATAACAAGCAACCACCGAAAAAATTTAGTAAAATCGAATAACGATCATCTGAAACTTGGAACTGTCAAAAAGCCAGCAACCATCTAAAAACGTCTAATAATCGTAACACGCTCATCCGAAAATTCACGCTCATCTTCAGACTTACGACGACCTAAACTCAACTTACGGTCACCTCATGACTTGAGGTGACCATCACCCAACTTACGATCACCTGTATGACTTACGACGCGATTCACGTGATGGCGAGTTGGAGCCACGGTTGTTATATCGATCCTTGGCGCTCGGCCCAGCCGTTCTTCCGAGTCGCCCTCACAAGAGCCGACTTTACTGGCTCCCTGAAAGCGACGCAGTTTCCAGTTCGTCAATGAAACACGATCAAAAATTTTAATTTTTATAGTCAGGTTGCACATTGTGCAAAGGAGTTGTTGTATCGAAGAAGCTCCACTTAGACATGAAATATCGCAAAGAAACATCCAAATGAGAACGTAACTTATTGTCTTGGAACGAAAAATAATGTAAATACAATAATCAACACATTTGTCAACAATAGTAATTTTAGGTCGATTTGTAATTATAGGTCAATGGGCTGATATTTACTCCTCAGAATTTTATGTTGAGCTCGGCACCTTATGGCAGAGTCTTGGATCGTTTTTAGCGGTGGTTGAATATTGCATTCTTTGCTGTGGTTGGTTTAAAGTTATGCGAGGTTACATGTTTCATTGTCTAGACTATAATATGCACATTAAAATTGCATATAAATGTGCATAAATTTGTAATGTGTTCTGTGTTCATTATAAAGGAATTTCATAGCAGCGTGTCGAGTCGTTAGCTCTGGCGACATATGTGACAATACTCAGGAGGTTAATTAAAGATATGGAATAGGTTCAGCCGAAATTTTGCATACCGGTATCAATTCACAAACTATACTTATGAATGATCAGTGTGATATTATTATTAACTGTATTCTGACAAATTCATTGACAACGTAACTTCCCTAAGCTTAGAATTGCAATTCTCCGGAATTTTATTTTCTTGTAATTTTTTTTCCAGTGCTCGTAGCTTTTGGCATAGAAACATCCATAAGTTGGAAAATGTTCGCGGAAATTTTGAACCCAAGGTCCTGATGGTGTTGAATGGAAACTGAGTGAAAGGAGCGTCCGGTGACCGGGACCATCCGAGATGTGGGTTCTGCACAACACCCAGGAGGTGAGTCCCGCTTACACACTGGGTGCTGGATGACCAAGTCATCCCCCAAACGCACTCAAGAGGTGAGTCCCACCCACCCGCTTGGTTTTGGATGACAATCTCATCATCCATACGCAAAGCGACGTACGCGTTTCGTAAGTTCTAGTGGTTTTAGTGATTTTAGCGTTTAAAAGTTTATGAAAAATGTAATGTCAGATTTAAGCTGACGAGGTTAATACAGCGTGGTTACTGTTGACTATTCCGCCCCTGATAAGTTATGTTTAGCTTGTCTGTATCCTTTTGAAATGCTTTACTGTTCCATTAATGTCAACGCGACGCCGAGCTCGGGCGTCTTTCAATCAAGTCTTGCAACAATGGCGCGTAATTGAGTCTCGCTGGGTCTTTTGTTTCGCTGCAGTCCCCGGACGCGTCTTTAGAGGGGTCTGCAATTGGGCAACCGGGGCCGATAACGGCATGAGGGGACATTGACATGAGGGGACATAAGCATGAGAGGAAATTGGCATGAAGGGATATTGGCATGAAGGGGCATTGGAATGAGGGGACATTAGCATGAGGGGACATTAGCATGAAGGAAAATCTCCGGTGAAAAACCACCGTCGTTGGTGCTTCCAAAAAACCTGTTTCCATGGCTTCCAGGTTCGCACTCGAGTCTCGTTGAGTGCTCTATGGATTAAAGCTTGAGGTTCATCAAGTGATGGGGAGGATGCGGGGAATCTCACAAGCCGTGGGGAACACCAGATGTTTTGCTGAGGAGGGGGAGTTTAACAGTTATGCAAGTCCAGAGGCGGTGGGAAAACCGCAGCTGATGGGGCAAGTGTGAAAGTTCAGAAGTTTGGGACAAGTGAGGATATACAGAAACACTCACCGTTGTTGAGATTGTGATGAATATGGGAATTGCAGGGGATAATAAGTGCAGCGGATGTACGTGGGATTGCTGTGGGCGTGAGGATTGTAGTGGGTGTGGGGACTGCAGCGGGTGTGGGGACTGCAGTGGGTGTGGGGATTGCAGTGGGTGTGGGGATTGCAGTGGGTGTGGTCGCCCCCAGCCAATTACACAACAGTATGCGTGCAGTGTGCAGGTCACGGCTCGCTTGCAGTGCAACTTCGTCACCGGGACCGCAAATTGTGATAAACTCTAACTTCTATTGAGGCATTGTTAACCTTCAGTATAGTTGCTCGTATTATCACGGTTCTTCAATGCATGTTTGAAATTCAAATCAAACTTTCTCAAGTCATTTTATGCATACTTCCTCATTCATTTGATGCAAATTTCAGTCCAATTTAATGTATATCATCAAATATTCCATTTAATTTATTGCCTGCAGCTTCCACTGCATGCACTTTCATCCGTTCTATCTTCCAAATTACCTTAAGTGATACCCCCAAATTCTTCAATGATCACGTATTCTACAGTGATATGTTACTCTGCAATTAACTATAACTTATATTCTACGACCATCAATGTTACTAGTAGTATTATCTTTAATATTATCATTAGTTAAAGTTGTTTTAGTAATAATCATGCCAGGAAAATCTATACTACTGACTCACAGAGTAGCCCAAGCCCCCTGGCGCCACGGTGCAAGTGTACGCCACTAAAACGTGATACAAAGTTGAGCAAGCAGTCAATTTTTTAAATATAATTCATTCATAAATTAGATGAAGTTGTCAACTTTATTGTTTCTTTCATAGTAGTTCTGTTCTACAGTTTATCAACTTGTCCTCCGAACTCTGTCCGATCTTGATCGAACTGTTCATAAGAATGGCTGGTGTGGACGATCTTTATAATGAACTTGGGAATGTGGCTACATGAAACCCTAAATGAATTATTTTGCACAGCAGATTTCAGATTGCGCAGCAAATGCCGCGAGCAAAACAATGGGTTACAGGTTCTTTTTCTTATTGATAGGTGAATAGATATATAACTGTCACCTATGAAATAATTTTTCTTCTGAAGTTCTAAGATTCTCGTGATCGAATTCGGGAATGCATGTGGAAAAGAATAATTGGAGGGTCTAATATTTTTGGCCCAGTTTGGCAAGTTGCGGCAGTAAGCAACAGCAGTCAGGACTGCAGCCGTAGCAGTAGTGCGGCAGTAAGCAACAGCAGAACAGCAGACCAGACTGCAGCCGTAGCAGTAGTGCGGCAGTAAGCAACAGCAGACCAGACTGCTGCCGTAGCAGTAGTGCGGCAGTAAGCAACAGCTGACCAGACTGCAGCCGTAGCAGTAGTGTGGCAGTAAACAACAGCAGACCATACTGCAGCCGTAGCAGTAGTGGGGCAGTAAGCAACAGCAGACCAGACTGCAGCCGTAGCAGTAGTGCGGCAGTACGGCACTTGATAGCCTCATAACGACAGTTGTGAGTCCGACCTTCACTTTGTGTGAGGCAGTCACGCGGTGACCGGTGGGCCGCCTCTGTCATGTCCTGAGGCCGAGCTATCAGAACAGTTACGTTTCATTGCCACGTACTCCGCCAGCCAGTCAATGACGGCGTTTAAGCTGAACCCACCAATCACAGACAAAAATTGGCCGCTACGTGTGCTTGGCCAGCTACGTGTGCTCAGGCAGCCGCATGTACTTATACCGCTACCGCCGCTACGTGTACACAAACGAGTTTTGATAGGACGGCCATTGAGCTTCACAGGTCAATGTATACGGAGCCCTTGGGTGGACACACTGTATTGACCCTGCATGGCCGCTACTTCTTTGTTGTCGCCCGGCGACAAAAAGAAGTGTGGCGGGCGCTACCAGTACCCTGTAAGGATTGAGTTGATGCTTTGCTAGGCTAGAGTTAAAACATTCCCTGCCTGGGCAAGGTCGATACCCTGCCTGGGCAAAGTCGATACCCTGAACTGAATATGCCAATACACGGCGTAGATTTGGCCTTGCATGCAGTACAGTGCTGTAGCTCTTCCGATGCGGTGCTTTAGCACTTACATTCCAGTGAAGTGACTCTGCGAAGGACGAGATGTATGCAGTGCTGATACTTTGCTCTGCCAATACAGTGTTATAGGCTATAGCTCTGCCAATACAGTAGTATATCTCTTCCAAAACAGTGTTATAGCTCTGCCAATACAGTGTTATAGCTCTGCCAATACAGTGTTATGGTTCTGCCAATACAGTGGTATAGCTCTGCCAATACAGTGGTATATCTATGCCAATACAGTGTTATATCTATGCCAATACATGTTATCTCTGCCAATACAGTGTCATAGCTCTGCCGGTACAGTGGTATAGCTCTGCCTGTACAGTGGTATAGCTCTGCCGGTACAGTGGTATAGCTCTGCCGGTACAGTGGTATAGCTCTGCCAATACAGTGTCATAGCTCTGCCAATACAGTGGTATATCTCTGCCAATACAGTGTCATAGCTCTGACAATACAGTGTTATATAGCTCTGCCGATACAGTGTCATAGCTCTGCCAATACAGTGTTATATAGCTCTGCCGATACAGTGTCATAACTCTGCCGATGGCACAACTCTGCCTCCTGTTGCTCTGCGATCCTTTGTGTCTGCAACAGCACGCGGCGGTGTCATGCAGGGCTGGCCCTGGAACTGCCCGTGCTCGGGATTTGGAACTCTATTAAATGAAGCTGACAGTCTATGTTAAGATGGCGATTATTACGATACGTAATATGAAGCTGAAAGTCTGTGTTAAGATGGCAATTATTACGACACGTAATATATATGAGTTATGAAACTGGTGTATGAGCATGTCTCTCGCAGAGCGTCGCTAATAGCACTCGTACGTATTGCTGTGATAGACGGATTTGATGCATAAGAGGACTCGCAGAACAGCGTGTATGTTGTCACGTTGCCGCTGCCATTGACGTACATGACTCTTCTAACAGGATTACGGGAGTGAAAGATGTGTTTTCTGACGTGAAATTAATGTCAGTGTAGTTAGATTCATGTACTTATTGTTGACTTAACGACTGTCGCGTTTGAGTTGGTTTCTTACACATATAAAGAAAATGAATGCTGTTACACCATACTGTAGCTCGTATTGTAGATTATTTTTGACTTCGTCAGTGTAGTTCTTTGATTTTATTTGGGAGGCATGGAACGGCGCTCGAAAAAATTCCCGTATTCCGCAATCAGCGACGACGACGAACGCAATACCTTCTGTGGACGTCTCATTCTCAGCGGACCTAAGAAAGAACGTCTGCTTGACAGCCCTCAAGAAAAAGCAGCTGGGCAGGAGCTCCCAAACCAGCCGGAGGATAAGCCTGAAAATTCGGATGCCGGTGGAATGAATAGAAGAAGAGTCATTCTATGTGGTCCCAAGCTGACAGCAGAGGAGGGGCAGGACAGGCTGTGGTACATTGAAGGGCCGAAGGACGTAGCGAGACTTGCCTCCAGTTTTCCGGGAAAAGAAGACTCTCACATTTTTGAGGGTATTTCCAAATTAAGAAGCTTGCATTATAGTCACAATGATGTGCGTAATGATTTGAATTTGTTTAGAAAATTGCCCAGTGCGCGAGTGTCAACCAACGTGGACTCCCGCAAGCCGTCTTCTCTGGTGCCTCTGCCAACCCAGCTTCGTGGACTCGCGAGTGCCCTGAACTGTTCGTCCTTTGAGCCCTCATCCTCATTCCCTTTGACGAAAAATTCGTCGGTATTGAGCTTTTACAATCCTTTAAATAGCTCTTCAAATGCTTCACTCCTTAAAAGTGAACCAATTGCTCCGGGATTGGATCATCAAAAATCCGTCAATCTCGATTCAAACATCGTATCTGAACCTGGGATCGCTGGCCATTTGACAAAGAATGATTTTCTTCCACTTTTGAGTGACATTACACGAGTTCATTCCAATGAGACTCATACAGTGGTTAGCTCTGAAACCTGTTCATTCATGTCTTCCAAAGGCTCATGCCTCTCCTCTAGCGGGGCTTTGCCTTCAGTAGTGGAAGATTCAACACAAATCGCGAAGTCAAATCCCCGCAGACCCCCCAAAACCTTTGCGGCACCTCCCAACACCATTGCTGCACCTTCCGGCACCATCGCTGCACCTCCCGGTACCATCGCGGGTCCTCCCGACATTTTCGCGGCCCCTCCCGGCAATATAGCGGCGCCTCTAGGCGATTTCGGTAAAATTTCTTTCCGAGGCGAACTCGCGCCGCTCCCCGACGACGTGACGCGCCTTACGGCCCCTCAGAAAGGTCCCTCCAAACTTTCCCGGAAATTATATGAGGCTGGCGAGGAGGAGATCGATACTAAGCCTCGAGGGCAAGTTGCTGACACCGCAACTTCGATAACTGACACCGAGGTATGTAAAACGTTGAATTGTCTTTATCGGGCTTGGCATTATTTTAAATAATGATATGCGATGATTAGTGAATCCACTTGATAAATGATAATAAGAGTAAAGAAATGGTCGCATTATCAACATAAGACACTATTGTTAAGCGCATCGAATCTCAGTCGGGGGAATGAGGTTCGATGATTTTTCTGATAACACGTTGACTTACCTATGAAGCTCACACCCGAATTCAACATGAGAACGATTGGCCTGGGTCATGGTTTCAGATTCGTTTGGGCATATAATACATCACATACGCAGCTATATGTGAAAGACCTGCTCAGTGCACACAGCAGTGGCAAGGACCACATACAGCTGCAGATAGGTTCGCTCACGGCATCAGGAGGACCCGCACACAGCTGCAGCTACACACGCCCACAGCTGCAGCATAGGCCTACACAGCTGCAGCTACACACGCCCACAGCTGCAGCATAGGCCTACACAGCTGCAGCTACACACGCCCACAGCTGCAGTATAGGCCTACACAGCTGCAGCTACACACGCCCACAGCTGCAGCATAGGCCCACAAAGCTGTTGGCCGGGGCATATGTGCTAGAAAGAATCCTTTAGCGGTTAGCGGTTAACTTTTTAAGCGTTTATTAGGCCGTAGGCCTGTCGCCGATTCTTTACATCGCAGAACATTCACAGCATTTTGTGGTCTCGAACTCGCAACTCACTGCTACAATTCTGCTGTGCTTAACCGCCTGGCCTCCTCGCTGATTCTGACCAGAAACTGGCGCACAGAGCTGGGATCGAACCCGCGCCTCTCTGCTCCAATACTGGTACTCTGAACTGTAACCACTGGGCCAACCTGCCCACCCTTTCTTCTTAATACTGCTAAATATTTTCTCAATACTGCTCAATACAGAAAAATATCTAAAATTCTATAATTTTATATCAAAGTCATAGCTGGATAGGCGCGTACAAGATTTGAAAGTCCAGGGATATTACGACCAGTATTCAAGTAACTATTGGGACTAATTAAATTTTTGGTTTGCACTTCTGCGCTCTAGATCTAAATATTTTAAATTATATTGATGAGAAATACCGAAGTTTCTTTTGTCAATACTCCTCTGTGCAGATGGGTGTCATTTAAAAATGTTTCATCGTCCTAGATTCCCTTTATTAAAATGCTAAACTATTACTACGTACATTGGTAATACTGTTAAGTGAACTAGTTTGCTTTTTTTATACTAACATGAATGTAATAGCAGTAATTTTGTTGGTTGAATTATTGTATTGTTGAAGTGTTGCATCGATGAAGTATTGTGTCGATGAAATATCATATACATGAGGTAATGTTGATGTTTTATACCAGTAAAATACTGCATCGTTATTGGCCGTAGTATCGTTATCGTTAGCTTATATGAGTTACTGGTGGTGTTGTGAATGAGGCGGAGCAGCGATGGGTGGCGTGGGTGTACGAGCGCCCACGTGAATGGACATAACGGCCTCGGCTCAAGGTCAATTTTTATGCGGTATTTTTTCAATGAGCTTCACCCGTTGCCGTTATATTATTTTACAATTGTAGACGGAAACGAACTGCTGTTTCTTCTATCGTAATATTAAGTAGTGATGTTTATTAGTGATGATGTTGTGAATGAAGATAGAGATGAGAGCGGAGGGCGGGTGTGGCCATGTTGCTGGGTGGAGCCTGCATGATGGCGGCTCTGGATCAATATTTACAGCGCTCTTTACGGCCGTACGAACCCCACATCGATCACCAGCGACTGTATTCCCGAATTCCAGCTCTCTAACTGCTGGGAATTTTGTGCATCATTGAGTGTGAAGTGGAACGATCGGATCGAGTGTGTGACGTCAGCAATTGGCGACTGAAAGAAGATTTAGATCAATCTTTATCTTTCCGAGTTGAGGATTTCACATTGAAATAATTCAGAAGTTATCAGAACGAATCTAAGCTACAAATTCTGAATGAAAACGGCAAGAGGACACAGAAAAATATTATTTTTCTGCACCTATTTTCTGCATAAAAAATAATTGCATAATATTGTTTGTGCAATTCTGTATTAAGAATATTATTATTTGCCTGTTTCATTGATACAAGTAGTCGCTACTCTCATATATTGACTCGTATTATTTCAGAGGAACACTCAAAAGCATTTTTCGTCCTGCCTCACATTGACAAAAGGTCTCATTCTTATAAATGCGTCGCTCGATGATGTTAATGCATTTCTAATGAAACAATTGAATAAATTTCTCAGTACAATAAACTTATTCAGATAGAATATGAAAAAGGCGGTTATGGCAATGCTACTAAAATGTATCCTTATATCATCTTATATGTTTAATCTCAGAATTATGAGCTAATTAATATTTATATGAAAAAGATCCCCGGATGTTTCACAGCTGCAGGCGCCCATCATGGGGAGTGGGGAGGGGGCTGGGGAGGAGCCCACCAAGCGGGGGCCTTTTGATTTCATCAGCAACATCTTCAAGCGGAGGAAGGATGTGGGGGAGGACATGGAGGAACATGAGGGTGAGCCCTTTAATTCTTTGAGTGTATGCCCGACAACTATTAATATGATAAGTTGTTTTAATATTCTTATACATCAATGAATTCGTTAATGAACAATCACTTCTTGATATTTGATATTGATGAATGCATGTATGACTGAATGATGAATTTTGCAGTGATGAACGCCGCGTCGCAGCGACCCCTGCACACTCCCCCGTGTCTGGGGGGTAACAAGTCCCCCTCCCCCTCCTTCCTGGGGGTTCGATCCCCCAACAGACTGTCGCGCTCATCAACCCCTGCCCACCTCACATCCCCCGCCCACACAACATCCCCATCCCCAAAGGGTTGTGACCCCTGCTCCCCTCTAGATCTGCTAACCTCCTCCCCCCAACTCCCGACCTCCCCTGGGGGTGACGGGAGCTCTGATGCCTCGCACCACGCGCTGTCGTGCAGCCTTGAGGACTGGCAGGCCATCGAGGCCATACGCCTCTCACGCCAGGACAACCCTTACTTGCAGGTGAGGCCACACTCGCACTACGCAGGCGAGGCAGTGCACGTATAACCAGACAAATTTCCTCGGAATATGAATAATTAAGTTAAAGAATTCCGTGAAGAAACCGATGAATTTATTGCCTACCGCCACCGGTACTGAGTAAAGCATGAAATAGTCAAGTTAAAGTAGCGTGCCGACTACGCATAATTCTGACCTTTTTGAACGCAAAGCTAAAGAGCGGCGTTTTATTATAGCTCTAAAATCCCTTGCGTTGAGAGGGGGGATGAAATGAACACAACCTGAACTTTCTTCGTCGTATACTGACGATCATCCAGCAGGTGTAAGAGTCTTCGTACCAACATTAATTAATTCTTGAATTATTGAGGTAGATACTTCCTTTGTTGGCATTTAAAAATTATAGATAGCAGACGACTAAATTTATAGATAGCAGAATTATAACCTCGGAGTACAAATCTCATCAAAACGTAACGAGGCTACGAGCCACGACATGCTGCTGAGAAAAGCGAATGATGTGGTGAGGCCATGCATGGGTAAGGCCATGCATGGGTGAGGCCATGCATCGGTGAGGCCATGCATGGGTGAGGCCATGCACGGGTGAGGCCATGCATGGGGGAGGCCATGCATGGGTGAGGCCATGCATGGGGGAGGCCATGCATGGGTGAGGCCATGCACGGGTAAGGCCATGCACGGGTGAGGCCATGCATAAGGGAGGGAACCCCCCTCGCTCTTTTACAGAACAGTTCACCAGAATACAGAATTGTTCAACAGAATACGAAACAGTCAGGATACAGAACTGGTCAGTAGATTACCGAACAGTTCACCAGTACATAGAACGATTCGTCATAATACAAAGCGGTTCACAAGAATAGCAAAAATAACACCGAATAAACAAAAAAGTTTCACCAGAATACAAAGCTGTTTTCCACAATAGCAAAAACTTCACATGATAAACCAAAACGGTTCTCATAATAACGTCTGAAATGTTTGTGCGAAATTGTCTTGAAAATGTACCGGTATCAGAATACGGCCCTTTGGATTGAAGTGTCCTGTGTTACATTACTGCAGAGGTATGCCAGTCTTGCGACAGTGTTATGCTAGTTTTGCGGCAGTGTTACAGTGTTATACTGGTCTTGCGGCAGTGTTATACTGGTCTTGCGGCAGTGTTATACTGGTCTTGCGGCAGTGTTATACTGGTCTTGCGGCAGTGTTGCGGCACTTTTGCGCGTCAATCTTACGTCAGTGTTACGTCATTGATGAGCTATTGGCTCGTTACAGCGATCGAGGGCTCGGCCCATGCAGCTGCTAAACTGCTCACTTATGCAGACGCTGCGCCGATACTGTCCGATACTGACGCCTCAGTGTCTCGTGAGCGGCTATCCTGCTAGTGTGCAGTACTGTGCAGTACGTGCAGTGCAGTGGGTGCAGTGCTGCGCAGTACGTGCAGTGCAGTGGATGCAATGGATGCAGTGCTGTGCAGTACGTGCAGTGCAGTGGGTGCAGTGATTGAGTTGTAGTGAAGACGTTTCAATTTCCTGCCGTGGTACGCGGGGCTCGGGAACTTCCCACCCATCAGTTCCCCAATTCAAGAAGTTGAGAAAAAATCCCCACCGGCCGCTCCCATCGTTCATTATTTGAACTTTCACACACCGGGAGAAGTGCATTTAAGTTCTTGTGACTAATTGAAGACCATGTATCCATGAAGACCATGTATCACTGAAGACCATTTATCTCTGAAGACCATGTACCTCTGAAGACGTTGTATCCCTGAAGACCATGTATCCCTGAAGACCATGTATTCCTGAAGACCATGTATCCCTGAAGACCATGTATCCCTGAAGACCATGTATCCCTGAAGACCATGTATCCCTGAAGACCATGTTCCTCCAGCTGCTCCTGAAACACTTGAGCTCTTCCGACGCGGAGGAAAGCCATGTGCGAGTGCGGGGCCGCTTTTTTTAATAATTATATTAAAAGTATTATAACATCATGGTTAATTTCATCTAATGAATAATATGAATCTTATTACAATGCAGAAGATCTTAGCGCTGGCGCTTGATCTAGTATGCAAATAATTTTACCCTAAGTAGTTAATTCAAATAAAAAACAAATTTGTTAATGGAAATATCCAAGTTTTTGCCTCTCTCCTGGATAATTTCAATCAATTGCATAAAAATAATGCTTTCCTTTCTTCGGGGTCATTTTCTGAACACGAGTCGAGCAGTCGAGTCTGTTAGGTCCGCTAGTTAACCTCCCAAAAATAGTATTGACATTTGTTCAGAGGAAACATGTATGTACGTTTATATAAGCACGTCTTCAATACGTGTTTAGTTCGTACATTTCTAATACCGTACTAATATCGGTATTTGTTTGTGTATTCTCGGTCTAATACTTATACTAACAATAATGATAATACTTACACTAACAATAATGATGATACTTATACTAACAATAATGATAATACTTATACTAACAATAATGATAATACTTATACTAACAATAATGATAATACTTATACTAACAATAATGATAATACTTATACTAACAATAATGATAATACTTATACTAACAATAATGATAATACTTATACTAACAATAATGATAATACTTATACTAACAATAATGATAATACTTATACTAACAATAATGATAATACTTATACTAACAATAATGATAATACTTATACTAACAATAATGATAATACTTATACTAACAATAATGATAATACTTATACTAACAATAATGATAATACTTATACTAACAATAATGATAATACTTATACTAACAATAATGATAATACTTATACTAACAATAATGATAANCTGTCTCTTATACACATCTAGATGTGTATAAGAGACAGTACTTACACTAATAATAATGATAATACTTACACTAATAATAATGATAATACTTACACTAACAATAATGATAATACTTACACTAATAATAATGATAATACTTACACTAACAATAATGATAATACTTACACTAACAATAATGATAATACTTACACTAATAATAATTCCTATTCTAAGAGTTATATTAACACTGGTGCGTTTGCGTGCAGCGCGTGGCGGGGTCGCAGGCATCGCTAACGGACCTCGACGACCCCCTGGGGGGCGGCGACCCCCTGGAGGAGGACCGCGCCCACCTCGTGGTCAGTGCCCCCATCACCAAATAAAAAAGTTAATCTTGATGAGACTTGATGTGTGTTGATAGAGTCTGGACCTAAAAAATTATTCTTGGTGGGAGAATAGGAAAGCATCGGAGGTTGAACCGCTCTCGCTAAATAACAGTTTTTATTGGTGCGTCTAAATATATTCAATGGATATTAATATATTTACTCTTGATGAGACGCTGTGCACTCTGCTGTGTCCAAGTGGCGTGCAGTGCTGTGCCTAGGTCACATGCGGTGCTGTGCCCAGGTCACGTGCGGTGCTGTGCCCAGGTCACGTGCAGTGCTGTGTCCAGATCACGTGCGGTGCTGTGCCCAGGTCACGTTATCTGTGTTCACGCAGCGACCAATAATCTTAATTATTTAAGATGGCGCCACATCGATGCATGACCGCTGGACAGTCGCGAGCTCTTGCGCAAGAGTAACAACTGCTTTGCCCAACTGCTCACGCTTGTTGGGCAAAAGCAACAACTGGAGAAATTTTAAATTTTTTCCCTGAAGTTGTTATAGTGAGAATATTATTCAAGTTTAATGAGGCAGGATTTGTGTTATACCACCGTTTTTCAGGTCAGGAACACAGTTACTGTGGACTTAATTGAAATGATTTTTAGCGAATGATTAGATGATTATTTGCCATTGATCTAATGATCTATGGGGCTATGGCGAATGACCTAACGATAATCATCCATTGACCAAAAGAATAAGATGATATTAATTATTGCTTTCATACGATGATGGTATCGGACGTCCATATTGCCGCACTGTCTAGTTTTCTTCCTAATGATGATGATTAAGTTAAGTCTCCTTTAATTGTTATGAAAATCCTAAAACATTTATTTCTAATGTATTAATTGAAGATGGCTTTGGTGGTGAAAGCCTGGTACCGCAATGCATAGAGGCTGTTTATGAGCGTATCCAGGATACTTATCGTGTCGGGATATTGTATTGTATTGTCGGGGCTGTTGGAGCGCGTATCCAGGATACTTATCGTGCCGGGATATTGTGATATTGTATATAGGGGCTGTTGGAGCGCGTATCCAGGATACTTATCGTGCCGGGATATTGGGATATTGTATATAGGGGCTGTTGGAGCGCGTATCCAAAATACTTATCGTGTCGGGATATTGTATATAGGGGCTGTTGGGGCGCGTATCCAGGATACTTATCGTGTCGGGATATTGTATATAGGGGCTGTTGGGGCGCGTATTCAGGATACTTATCGTGTCGAGATATTGTATATAGGGGCTGTTGGGGCGCGTATCCAGGATACTTATCTTGCGTTGATAGAGTCTGGACCTAAACATTTATTCTTGGTAGGAGAATAGGAAAGCATCTGAGGATAGGTTGAACCGTCCTCGCCAAATACGAGTTTTTATTGGTGCTTCTAAATATTTTCCATAGATATGAATTTTAATTCTCTAGGAATTTGGAACTTGGCGATAATTGAGAGCTCTTTGCTTAAAATTGGAAGGAATGGGACGCTATTTCAATAAAGTTTTTTAATTTTGCAATTATTTAATAATACGGAATTCGAGATGATGACAATGAAATAATTCAGAACTACATGATACGAATACGAGATTATTTCCATACTGCAAGGATTTCTCAGCAATTTAGACTTAGCGTAATAAGTGATTGCTAACTATCATTTGCGGTTGATAAGAGGCTTCACACAGGCTGGTATTCATCATTCACCGTTGATATTAATATTCGAGCTTCATTTATATGAATAACAATCGTTTACAGTTGAATAAAATGCTTTACGGTGAGTGGAGTTGAGAACATCACTCGGTCATCACTCGCTGCCCTCAGCACAACCCTCACTCTCCCTCGTCTCCCGCACGCTGCTGCAACGCGGACGCTGCTACCACTCTACCTACTACTCTACCACTCTACCGACTACTCTACCTCTCTACCGACTACTCTACCACTCTGCCAACTACTCTACCACTCTACCAACTACTCTACCACTCTGCCAACTACTCTACCACTCTACCGACTACTCTACCACTCTGCCAACTACTCTACCACTCTACCAACTACTCTACCACTCTGCCAACTACTCTACCACTCTACCGACTACTCTACCACTCTACAAACTTCTCTACCACTCTACAAACTACTCTACCACTCTACCAACTACTCTACCACTCTACCCAAATACTCTACCAATTTTTCTCAACTTTGCTTCTCTTCACTCTACTATTAGTTACTTGAATTGTATCTAATTTCATTTATATTTCATTTCAATTTTAATTACCGTTGCTGTTATTCCTTTGCCTAACTCTAACCACCTACTCTTACCCACCCAACTTTATCTTCACTTCGAACTTGTCACCCCTTCTCCCTCTCACCCCCTCTCCCTCTAACCCCCTCTCCCTCTCACCCCCTCT